TCGGGGACCTTCTGCCGCACGAAGAAAGACGCAGACTTGAGAACTTCCAGACCGAGATGTTGTTGAGCAGCGAGGAGGCAGCTGGGGTGATTGAGAGTGGGCGTGGGGGAGAGTGTCATCTAGATCCCGTGTTGGCACGCGACCCTGAAGCCTACCACCAGTTCATCCATGACTTGTATGCCTGCAATCTGATCGGATTTACCGACAAGCCAAAGATCCAGGTAGGACTTTTTGTGGTCACGAAAAAGGGGGAGAAGCAAAGGTTGATAGTTGATGCCAGACCAGCAAATCGCTTCTTTCGGGCGCCCCCTACAACACTCCTGGGCTCTGTTGAAGCTTGGGGGAAGTTGGAGGTGCGTGACGATGAGTTTTTCGTGGCACAGGAGGATGTCCGGGACTTCTTTTACAGACTGGGCATAAGCAAAGATCTGGGGGAGTACTTCTCGTTGCCTGAGGTCGATGCGGAACGGCTCTCCAGAGAGATGGGGAGTTTGCCCGAGGAGGCACGCATTATCCAGAGCAAGGGGCGACGGCTGTTTCCACATTTTCGCGTTCTGCCAATGGTTTTTTCGTGGGCCTTCCACCTTGCTCACGAGGCTCATGTTCATCTTGCCAGGTTAGCTCTACCAGGCGTACCGGTCGCCACCGATCGACGGCCTCCACCAGTACTATCATCCGTGCAGGCTGGGACCGAGAGTGCTATGATGATTTATGCCGATAACAATAACCACATATCCATCAAGAGCCAAAGGGTGGCAACTGAGCAGAAGGTTATGATGGATCGCTTACATGAGCATGGTTTGGCCACCCACGACATCACCGAAGCATCGGGTATTGCAGAAAGCTTGGGTGTTAGAGTAGATGGCCTTTCGGGACGCATCACCGCTACACCTGCTCGCGATTGGAGGCTTTCACGAGCTCTTCGTGGATTGGAGGCCAGGCCTTCAATTACGGGCGAAGAGCTGCAGGTGATCTTAGGCCATATGACCATGCGGAGTATGTTGAACCGGTCCTTGCTCAGCATCCTTAGGCATTCTTATGTTTTCGTGGCGCAGTGCTACACCAAGAGGACGCGACTCTGGGTTAGTGTGGCGCGTGAAATGTTCTTGTTCCGGAGCCTTATGGTGTTGGGGGAGGCAAATGTCATGGCCCCTTGGTCGTCGGACATGTTCTGCACGGATGCCAGCCTCTCGGGATATGCTGTAATGAAACGGTGCCACCCACAGGAGATTCCTTTGTCTGTGCGTGGTTTCGACGAGAGATGGCGGTTCAAGAGGGCGAGTGGCGCACGCGTGGCCCCGAGGACCGCGGCTTTGGAGGGGTTGGATGTGTTCGAAGATGTTGAGACAGTCATCCCGAGTGTGAGCGGAGAAGTTCTGGGGCCCGACGAATTAGTGAAGGGGTTCCCGGAGGTTGCAAGTGGATTGTTGGAGCAGTCTCAGTGGAAGTGTTTATGGGCTGCGCCGATGCACTTCCGCGAGCCCATTCATCAGATAGAGGCTAGAAGCATTCTCTCGCTCGTGAAGCATTTGGCGAAAGACTGGCGATATCACAATACTAGAGTTGCCGTTTTCAATGACAACATGGGTGTTGTGTTGGCAATCTCCAAAGGCCGATGTGCTAGCTATGGACTTCTCAGGCTGTTGAGGCGGCTCAGCGCTCACATACTGGCGACTGGGATACGTCTCCACGTGCGGTGGGTTCCGTCGGAGCTCAACACTGCGGATGCCGATAGCCGGCGGTGGGAACCATGCCGGGGTAAGGGGCAGAGCACTGAATCCAGTCAAACGGCGTGTGGAGGTCTTCGGAAAGAGCGAGGTGACCAGAGCAAATGGCCGTTGCAGGCATCCGGAGGAGCAGGTGGAGATGAACATGCTTCGAAGGAAGCTGAAATCACCATCGGCGAGCCCCGGAAGGACACAACGTGTGGAGCAGAGGGGCCAACTCCGGAAGATAGTAGAGCTGCACAAAAAGAAGAGGGAGAAAGCCATGCGGAGGAAACGGAAGTACATCAAGAAGATGAGAGCCACCCGAGGGGAGAAATCGATCCTGGAGCTGAACAGTGTCAAGGAGCCCCAGAGGAAAGATTACTCGAGGCGGCTAGAGAAGTTCTACATGTTCGCAGACCACTTCGAGCTCAACATCATGACCGAAAAGGGGCTCGACGAAGTGCTGTGCGAGTACGCGGATGCGCTGTTCCTAGAGGGCGAGGACTGCAACTGTGGGCAAAAGCTGTTGGCAGCTCTGGAGTTTCAGATGCCCGAGTGGCACAGGGACGGAGCGCTGAAGCTGCCAAGGTTTCGGCGAGCTTTGAAAGGATGGCGAAAGCTGGCTCCCCCGCAGACGCGTCTCCCGCTACTCGAATTCCTCAAAGGGGCGATCTCCGGAATAATGCTTTTCTTGAAATGCAAGGAAATGGCGTTATTCAACGAGTTCACGTTCTCGACTTACGCGAGGCCTGGCGAAGCACTGCGGCTCATGGCCAGCGACGTGGTGCCCAGCAACAGGGACTTCGAGCACACCGTGGTGATTCTGAGCCCCGTGGAGAGGGGAGAATCGTCAAAGGCCGGGATCTACGACGAAACGATCATACTGGACGACACTCGGGTCAGTTGGTTACCACGCCTGCTTCAGGAACGGGCGGTGGCTCAGATTGCCGATCACGGAGAAGATGCCCACCTCTGGACTTTCACGGCGAGCGCGTACCTCAAAACGTGGAGGCAGTGTGTGGAAATCCTGGACATTGGCAGTTTGGCCAGCAGCCCTTACCAAAACAGGCACGGTGGAGCCAGCAGGGACCATTTGCAAAAGCTCCGCAGCACTATGGACATCCAGCGGCGCGGACGTTGGGCTTCGGACTCGAGTGCTCGCATCTACGACAAGCCAGGTCGCATGCAGCAGGCGATCAACAAGTATCAGGGCGACTACCAGGCCTTCGGCGAAGATGTGAGGAAGAACTTCGTGCAGTACTACCGCAATGGTTTGAAACGGATACCATCCAAGGCGGCAGCGCGAACATGATCTTCTCCGGGGACGCGTTCTTGAGCTTGTTCGGTGGAAGGGCAAAGGCTGCGGAGTTTGTGGCCAAGCAGGGTGGCATCTCCTTGGTTGTCGATGTTGCCCATTCGCCTTGCAATGACCTCGCGAAGCCGAGGGTGTGGAATGATATTTCTCGCATACTCAATAATTTCACTTATGTGGGCATTGATCTGCCGTGTGATACATGGAGCCGCGCTCGCAGGGCCCCAGAAGGAAGCCCCATGCCAAGAGCTCTACGAGGGGATAATCCTGACGACGTTTTTGGGCTACCAAACTTGTCACATGCAGACGCACAAAAAGTTCGAAAGGGCAACATCATGCTGTGGGGAGCGGTTAAGCTTATTCGCAAGTGTCTTCGGCAAGGTATATCTGGATACATGGAGAATCCACTCAATAGCCGAGTCTGGCGAATACCCGCAATACAGAGACTACTCAGTGACCCACGTGTGCATTTTGTGGCTGTTGATATGTGCCGTTACAACAACCCTTTTCGCAAGCCCACTGGTCTATTGGTGTGGAACACTGCCGATTTTCAAATGTTGCGGTGTCGCCCCGGGGTCTGTGTCAGGACTCATCGACGACACGTGCAGCTCACCGGCATCGCCTTCGGCAAGTTCCTCACCAGTCAAGCCCAAGCCTATAGTGAAGCTTTTGCTGCTGACCTCATGACGCGCCTAAGTTTTCACCGGCATGTGCTGAACTTCAATCCCTCCCATCCCGCCCAATGAGCCATACAGGTTATGGGTTTGGGGATCTTGCATCACAGATGCTCATACATAGCACTGTGAGGGTGGTGCTGATCTAAAGTGCATCGCCCGCGAAGCTGGCGATTCATCCACGATGCACCTGACTATGGACGGACACGAAAGTTCGTGCACAAAAACTGGGAGCGCTGCGGAAGCATGATAGCATTGATGCAGGATTGCTGAAGCATCGCGAATTCCGCTGCAAAATTTCAAGTCTCATCAGCTCGCCCTCCCTCCCACCCGGGGATCTTGCATCACAGATGCTCATACATAGCACTGTGAGGGTGGTGCTGATCTAAAGTGCATCGCCCGCGAAGCTGGCGATTCATCCACGATGCACCTGACTATGGACGGACACGAAAGTTCGTGCACAAAAACTGGGAGCGCTGCGGAAGCATATATATATATATATATATATACATGTATATGTGTATTCAAACGCATGCACAAATATACTTATAACCATACATACGCATATGTGCAGATATACACATAAAAATCAATGTATGTGCATATACACATACATACGTACATACATATGTATATATATATATATATATATATATACATATATATGTGACTATATATGTACATAAAGATATATATATATATATATATATATATATATATTTATACACATATGGAATATGTACACGTAAACGTGTATATGTTTCTATGTACGCATATACATACACACGTTCGGTTTTTCAAGAGGCACGTACATGCACACATGTGTAATGTAATGTATGTATGTATGTATGTATGTAATGTATGTATTTATGTTTGTAATTATGTATGTATATAAACACATACACAAGCAGATGCATGTTTGTGTATGTACAGCGATCCAATACCTGAGAGAGTCTGAGCCCTGATAGGCAAACTCGAGAGTGGCAGGTCGGTTGCCCTAAGGGTCCATGTACCCAAATAGTATATACTTTGGGCCCAATGTATCTATATAGGGAGTACTTTAAGGCCAAAGTATATACTATTTTGGTACATGGACCCTTAGGGTTGTCTATTGTCAGAGTGGCCTACCTACAGCTACCTCAACTGAACAGGGTCCTTACAACCCACCCTACACCCTAAACCCTCTTGATGACGACTTTCATTGTCACGCCTGGCAGCCAAAACCTGTAGAACTTTCCATCAAATCTATCCTAAGAGCCTCTTACGCTTAGGTTCGTTTTACCCAAGCACGCGAAGCTGCCACAGGTTATCGGTCCCAGGTCCTTCGCGCCGCCCCGGACTTGCAGCTGCTGGACGAAGAGGTGCAACGCGGGGCTTAGGCCTAGGGTTTAGGGCTTTGGGGTTTAGGGTTTAGGGTGCATGTTTACATGTTGGCCGTTGGCCCTAAAGTTTCAGAAGATTTCGCTTGAGGGAAGGCCCAAGTGCATATTATATAGTGCATGCTATATAGGCATAGGGTACGGCTTGAAGGCTGAGAAGTGAAGATCCTTAGTACATGCATCTGTTTGACTTGGCTGGAACAACTCAAAACCCATACATGGCCAGCATTTCGGTCCAAACTGCCGAAGCAAATGTGTGGATTCCAGGCTGGGTGTTCATGTTTATGGCTGTAGTCACGGCCGCATTTTGAACAGAACATGGTAAGTCTGAGTTGTCATGAGTATCCAGAGCCCTGGCCCTTGGCCGGTTCATGACTGGCACCCCTAAGTGAGTCGAGTACCGACCTCCGACCTTTTCAGGACAAACAAAACCCTAAACTCTAAACAAGTTCCAGGATCTTGTGAATATATTTCTTGCTGTACTCGTCGAAGAGTAACTAAGTAGGTAGCCGGTCAACCTTTAACCTTCTTGGGGTACTATAGCCCCTAGATAACCCTATGTACTTCCAAAGCTTAACCTTTAGCTCCACAGATTCCTTGCGCAATAGGTCTTTTAGTGTTCATGCTCGAAGACCCAAGCAGCACCCTCTAAAAACGTTTAAGGTTGTAAAACCCACAACAACCTTACAGCGCAAACTTCCCTAAACCCTGAAACCCGAAACCCTAAACCCAAAGCCCTGAAACCCCAAGACATTAAACCCTAAACCCTATACACCCTTTCTTGCAGGCTCCGGGTGCCGAGGAGAGGTTTGCAGATCTTGAACGGGCAGACCGGACCTCAGTACTCGCGTGGTGTGTAGTAGAGGGCTAGAGTCTAAACTCCAACCCAAATGGTCCAAAGGACCCGATAATTTGGTACTTGGGTTTCGCATAGTAGTTATGTAGGTTACTATTCTGGAGAGTACATGACAATTAGGTACTTGGACCCTTAGGGCAAGTATTCGTTATAGGGTTGCGTTTTGTTTATTACAAGTTGCTATTCCAAGCCCTGTTCCAAAACGGTAAGGCGCTGGAAGGGCAGTCGAATGTAGCCTAAGGGTTCTTGAAGCGGTTCGTCCAAGGGTTCTGTAACGGTTGAGAATTGATATACCTACGCACTATGTAGATTGGCCCAAAACTTATGTTAACCGCCCTGAGGCCAAAGTATCTACATTCATAGGTACCAGGACGCTTCTACCCCAGACCCTAACCCCTTATTCCTTGGCGTATATACCTCAAACTCTGCCAGTTACCTTGCATTATATAGCTTGAAAAGTTATTATAGTGCTTGTATAGTATAGTATATCGGTCCTGCATAGGTACAAGGGCCCTTGTGGGGGTTCAGGTTTCCGGATGTTGGGCTAACCCCAAGGTTCAGCGACTGATCCCGAGGTAATTTCCGTAGAACGTGTCGTCACCAAAGCCCGAGCCCGGACACCTGAGATCATATGGGGGTTTCCGAAAAATAGGGGACCCTAATTTTTAGTGCCCCAAATAGTAGGATCCTTATCATAAGGACCCCTAAATAAGCTCACCCCTATTTTCGGAAACTCCCATGTTCAATTCCTCGCCAACCCAAAGGCTCCATGTACCTTTATAGTAGATACTTAAGCCTTAAAGGGGGCCCAATATAGGTATTTTAAGGCCTAAGTATATACTAGATGGGCACATAGAGCCTTAAGGCAACGAAACCGTGAAAGCTAAAGTGCTAAACCGCGCACCTGAACCCGAAACTTCCTCAAGCCACAAACCCTAACACAAACCATGACTTATCAACTGTCTCTGAGAACCCTCGTGAAACTCTTACAGAAGCTTCATCGACACACAAAAAGGCCGATGTAGCCCTTCTAGAAACCTCTTAAACTTATAAACACCCTGATTGACCCTTTTACCACCCTTCTAAAAGGAAAACCGCCCCACACAGAAGCCAATACAAAAACCCTGGTAATCCAGTGCTCCGTAAAGCCCGTACAGAACCTATGGGCCTAGATACAATCCTATACGGAACGCAGCCGAAGGTGTTGCCAGAGACTTGGCCTCCAGCCCGAGCCGGGGACACCGAGGCTGGATGCGGGATTTTGTTAGGGTTTCCCCTAAGGGTCCATGTACCCAAATAGTATATACTTTGGGCCCAATGTATCTATATAGGGAGTACTTTAAGGCCAAAGTATATACTATTTGGGTACATGGACCCTTAGGTTTCTATCAGGTTCACACTTTTGTGAATTTTCCAGACTGCGAAGGGTTTGCATGTGGGTTTCGTAGACGGCTATCAGGGATTTGCATTGTTTTTTTGTATCGATGGCTGCATGGTTGAGGCTTAACCTTACCGTTGGTTAGTAGGGAATGGAGGAATGGTAGTAATAGTACTTCTAAACTGTACCCGATTCCTCCGTTCCCTACTAACCAACGGAAAGCTAACGGTTCCATCGAGTTTTGCAAGCTTCTGTGGCTTAGCGGCGTAGCGCCTGTGGTGGGCTTAGGGTTCGAAGTGGCTGGGGTTTTGGGGTGGTGGGGCTTTACCTATAGTCTCCATTGTAGTTCCTTTTTTTGGTTTAACCAATTATATTTTAAGGATCCCATAAGGTATCCCTCTTAATGAACTACAATGGAGACTATAGGTAGGATTGAGGCTTTTGTGTCGTTGTTGGCACAATTTGTCACCGATATGTCGAACCTTCCTGCAGTTATGAACCTGACTGTATTCACCGCACTGGAGCTACGTAGGTTTGAAGTCATCGCAGCACGGCAAGGTACCAACTGTTCAGAAACCCGGCGATGGCCCCTTGGAGGAGTCGGAGGAGGCCTTTACGTGATTTCTGACTGCTTTTGCCCAGGTTTGATCTGCTCAGAGCCTCCCTCCAGGGTTTAGGGTTTTACGGTCAAGGGCTTTTACGTAGGATTTCCTGCATCTGTTTCAGGGTAGGATGTTTAAGTGCAGTTGGTTTACTGGGGTTCGCACGCATTAGCACTGCAACCCTCGTGGTCAGGAGTTGTGAAGTGTAGCTTTCGTCCTCGTTTTCGCTGGCATCAATGGCCGTACTACCCTGAGCCCTAGACTTGACCATGCCCCCATATTAAACCTTGATACAAACTCTAGATTTCGATCTCGATGCTTAAAGTTTTAGGGTTTCGGAAGGTCTGCAGCTTCCTTTTAACTCTGCACTCTTTAAGCTTATGACCTGAGGCCAGGGTCTAGTTATTACAAGGTTTACGAGTTTAGGTTTTAGGGCAGGCTTTAGGAGTTTAGGGGCTTCAAGTTAGAGTTCCATGTCGGGATCTATTATACACCCTAAACCCTAAACGCCTATAAACCCTAAGTCTTAGCCCTGAAACCCTAAACCCCAAAACCCTGTAAAGCCTGAACCCTCCTGTGTAGACCCTAGGCCCTAAAACCCCAAACCCAAGGTCTTAAGGTCTTGGGATGGAGGTCCGCAACTGCATAGCTCTATTTCGGGGGTTCCTTGTTATAAGCACAAGTATAGCATGAGGGGCCCCAGAACCTTATTCTAAGTATTAAGGCCCCTATACAATAATCCTATGAGCAACCACACAGAATCTTTAAGGAGCCCTTGAAAGGACCCCTTATTAAAGCCCCTATATTGGTGTCTAGCTTCGGCTCTGGTGGACGGCACAGGGCCCTTTGCTTTATGTAACTATGAAGCTAACACTACGGGGCCATGAACCTTTAAGGATTCCTTTAAGGGCTTTGGGAATTTATGTTTTCTGGGTTCGTGCAACGGCCTGCGAATTTATCGTTCCTGTAAGGGTTCCTTAGGCGTAGGGCTCCTATATAGATATAGATACAAATCCCACGTATATACTACGTAGGTAAAGATCAGGCATTGGGCTCTCAAGCTAGAATGCCATCTTAGATTCTGATTGTTTCGGCCGCAGGTGTTTTTTTCCCTGATGGGTTTTGCATCAGGGAGTTTTGGGTTTAGGCTTTTGGGGTTCAGGAATTCAGGGGTTTGCGGCTCGAAGGGTTTGGATGCAGTTCTGCCTTAAACCTGCCACCGGTTGACACCCGGAAGGCCACACAGGCGAATCTCGCACGACTCCGAGTCGCGGTGTTGCAGAAGCAGCAGGCTAGTGCAGGGAGTTCCGAGCCTGGGATGTACTTAAAGTTAGGGTGTAGGAATTATGCTTTCCGTTTTTTTTTTTGAGAACTTCACTTTCCACGTATTGCTGATTCCACCCCGATGCAGGTTTTACAATGCGTGTGCACTTACCATTTCTGCTCCAGGTTTGGGGATTGAGGTGGTTGCGGGTTTAGTAGAATCCTCGGGGTACTTAGAAATAATTTTTAGTTTTTGGTTACTATATAATCCCTAAGAAACAGCTAAAATCAGAATTGTTACTAGGGTTCTAAGTTCAGTACAGGAATTATAGCAAGGAGCCCAAGCAACTGTTCTGGCAATCATTCAGACCCCTCCACGAATATTACAGGGGCCCCAAATAATCTTAGTAGCTGAGTGGATACACTTTACACTTCTTGTGATAACATTGCCCACTATAGAGCTAAAAGTGTACACTTTTGGGGGGCTCATGAACTCAGCTGCTCAGTGATAATTAGACAAGGGTTTTGGCCCATGATACTATGATTTGTAATCAGGAACCCCCACATAAAAGCATAGGTAATTTGTTAGGCTCCTATATTGTGGGTTTCAAGCTTTTATTTGAAGCATCTCGAACAGAATATGTTGCCTCCACGCAGTGTCAGCGCAGCATGAACAGCTTAGTTTCGTTCACATTGTGATTTCTGCATGCGGCCTAGTACTTAAAGGAAGGTGCTGACCACACAGGTCCAGTTCCTCCGTTTGCAAGTCGCCGGCAGAAGCAGCACAGAATCGACCGACGCCAGTAATTCGTGCCGCTCAGAGCAATGCAGCACATCAATATCAGGATGCTTTCTGGGCAAGAGGTGGCCAGCATACCGGTGGGGGAGTTGACCGACGTGAGGGAGTTGAAGCTGCAACTGCATCAGCATCATGGCTTTCCGACGCGATTCAGACAAAGACTGCTTCTTGGTGGCAACATTATGGACGATTCTGTGGAGTTGAACGCGCCGATGGATTTAGAGCTGGTTGTGCATGCATACTCGGCTATATCCCCGGCGCAAGCAGACGAGCTGGTGGCGGCCGCCCAGAAAGGCTCCGCAAGTGAGGCCGATACCCTGAAACCCTCAACATATGTCTTTGTGAATCATCCCGCTAGACTAGACCTGTAGCCCTGAAGCCCGTTTCCCAGAAGACCTCAACTCTGAACACCTGACTGCAGGTCGAGACGCTGCTGCAGCTGCCCCGAAATCCGGACCTTGCCAACACATGGGGCAGTCGTCCACTGATTGAAGCTTCTGTTCGAGGCCACATTGAGGTCGTTCAGCTCCTGCTGGATGCAGCCGCCGACACGAATGTGTCGGGCAGATATGGCCCTAAACATAGCTTCTGCACGAGGCAACGTTGATGTGGTTCAATTGCTGCTTGAAGCATCTGCTGACAAGGATGTGGCAAACCACGATGGCGACACGCCCCTCAGCGTAGCTTGTGGTTGGGGCCATTTTGAAGTGGTTCAATTGCTGCTGGATGCACAGGCAGATATGAACTTGGAAAATCTCCGCGGCCTCACTGCCGAACGCTCCAAAGAAATTGTTCGTTTGCTGCAGGATGCCCGTGAAGGCTCAACCAACAAACGGAGATGCGACATTGAGCTAAGCACGTCGAAAAAGCCAAGGTAAGTTCTTGCAACTGATGCAGGCATCGCATGAGGACATCAAGCATTCAACCATAACGGCCTGTTTGCACTCTCAGAGCTTCTCCGCCAGCTTGTGCCGGCGCAGACGGGGCTATTTGGGAGTTTCCGAAAATAGGGGACCCTAATATAGTACCCTAAAAATCGTAGGATCCTTATTATAAGGCCCCCAGAATAAGGTACGCCTGATTTTCGGAAACTCCCATTTGGTTAATTCTCTTTCGACCGCCTGAGCTGAGTGGGTTTTTACCCCAGGTGGATCAAGGGACACCCCAGAGCCTCCAAAACCGCTTAATTAAGGAATATGGCTTAAATTATGTAGGGCTTCATATTATGATTTAGGCTATATTCCTTAATTAAGGGGTATTGGGCTCTCTGGGACTGTTTTCCCACCTGTACGATTTGGTTGGTGGTCTCACGAGCTCTTGTCGAAGCTCAAGCCTTGCATTGAAAAAGTGAGCTCTTCTCGGTAAGACTGCCTAATGTTATATAAACCTTAAACCCTAAAAACCCCAAACACACAAGTAAGTGCCCTATAAACCCTAAACCCTAAAAACCCCAAACACACAAGTAAGCTTTACATCCTAAACCATGATCGGGCTTAAGCCCGAATCTGTAAGGTACTTCTGTAACTCTAGGAACCCGCTTAAGGCGAATGCACATCCTGCGTAGGTATACAGGGGCCCTTGAAGGGTTCGGCTTAAGAGAATCATTCACCTGTGAAAACCTACATATTTCGGGTCCCCAAAAGGGACCATAATTTTGACAACTACCCACATTTTCTTATGCTGGGTACGTTCGGGGGCTTGAGGGAGTATGTATGAGCATGTATGAGCATGAAAAGCAACCCCGTCCCCCCTCCCCACACCCCCAACCTCAAACGTCCTATAAACACTAAGCTTACAAAGTTTGCTTCAGGAGGGCGCAGCTTTGCATATGGGTGTACCCCTGACCTCGAAACCTGGACCCGTAACACTCACGATCATCTAGAGAACCCTAAGCCCTAAACCTTACAGGAAGTTGGCATCAAGGCCTCATTTTACTCTCATATTACAAACCACCCCGTATGGCGTACGGCAGGATATCCACAGAAGCCCTCAACACTCCTCAACAAACAACAATCAAAGCGCTTGATAAAACTGTTCCTTGCCTCCCCGGACGACCCCGAACACCACGTAGTTTTTAGTTCGGCGTACAGGGACAGAATAAGGGTGAAGGGTAGACGCAGAGGAATGCAGTTTCCGTATTGGTTGGAGACCACATCGCAACGCTGTTACCCTTTAGTCTGGAAGGCTAACCCTGGTAGAGGCATTCTAGGTCCCCATGTAGTTTACGCGGAAATAAATAAACAAATCAAGCGAGACCGGAAAAACTCTGAGACGGCGCCAATGCGCGCTCCGACATAGCGCGCACGGCATCCTCAAAAAACCTTACAGGATTCTGTGTGTGGGGATTTGGAGTTCAATCACAAAGGCCCCTATATCATGGACCCCTACGATAGATCCCTTATAGAGCCCTTTAAAGGAACGCGTTAAAGGAACCCTATGCTAACTATTATAAAGGCCCCTACATTCGGTGTTGGAACTCTGCACTTCCGAAGATGAGTCGAGGCAGCTGCGGAGGCCCGATCGCGCAGGCAGGCGAGTGAGGACCTGGGGATAGGGGTTTAGGGGTGAAGGGTGTTGGGTTGACCACAATTTTGACAAGCACCCACATAGCGCTTCGCTACAGTCTTTTTTAAATTGGGTCGCAGGGGGTCTGCAAAGGTATTGTGTTTGGCTTTTTTTAGAGCGTACAGTACAGGCTAGTCCGACATTGGCCAAACTGGTCAGTATTATCCAGTGTCAGCAAGAATAACAGAATCGTGATGACAAGCAGCGAATTAGCCACACATTCCAAACCCAAATTGTGATGCATTCCCTTGTCGGTTTATGGTGTTGCCCTAAGGGTCCAAGCACCTTCTTATCATATCCTCTCCAAAATAGCAACCTACATAACTACTATTCCTAAAACCGAGTACCTAATTATTGGGTCCTTTGGACCCTAGGGCTTGTCTTCAACCCTCAAAATACCCAGCGCTTGTCTGTAGGAGAGCTTGGCCGCCCTCCTCGCAGATGCCGTGCCCAACGCTCCAAAGATAGGCCGGCAGCTCCAGAGCGAGCCTCAGACGGACAGACGTGCACCCTTTAAGGCTTACTTTAAGGGTTCCTTTAAGGCTTCCTTTAAGGGTTCCTATAAGGGTTCTATACTTGGGTTCAGGGTTTAAGGCCTTAAAGTATTCCCTACATAGATGTGTGTGTCTCTCCCTTCGGTTGACTGGTTGGTGGTTAGGGGTTTAGGGTTTAGGGATCCTTTGAGTAAGGCTTCCCTTAAAGGTTCCTATGAGGGTTCTAAATGGTTGTATAGGGTTTGGAATTTAAGGGTCCATGTACCCAAACAGTATATACTTTGGCCTTAAACTACTCCCTATACAAATACATTGGGCCTTAAGTATATACTATTTGGGTACGTGGACCCGTCGGGTTTATGACTTCATGATCAATGTTAAGACGTTGAGGACATGTCTGCGCTTGAGTCCACACGGTCGTTGAGGAATCTAGAGGTGACGGGATTGGGAAAAGGTGATCGTTCCAGTTCTGCTGGCAGTTCGTTTGGGTCTTGTAAGAGGTGGCTGCCTGCTCGCTGCCTTGCACGGTCTTCCGTACCGCTTGAAGCATACATAACTGGATTTGGGTTGTTTTCCAGTGGAAAGGCTTTCAATTCGAGTTGAGCCGTCAGAAACACCAAGACCACGAATTCGTGTTCTCACCGCACGGCGACCATGACCATCAACCCGTAAGCCGTAAGCCCGAAGAACCTTGGACAAACCCGACTCCGAAACCAAACTCTAAGCAGGACCCCTAAACCCCCCCAAAAGAATCTTAGATAAACCCGACCTTGGGGGTTTAGGGTTTGGGTTGACTCCGAAACCAAAACTCTAATCTAAGGATCTTAGGCTCTGAACCCCGAACCCAGAAACGACCCTGGGACCCCCGACCCTGCCACTTCAGGCAGGAGCTGCGCATCGTTGCAGGGGAAGCCAAACGACGACAGGCCCCATTCGTCTCTTCCTCGGGTTTCTGGAGTTCAAGTTTTGGGAACTTGCAACTCCCTACACCATGGGCCATGAACCGTAAATCCTAGCGCGACTGTCGATGCCCCAAATTTTAAGATCTTGGTCTTGGTCTTCCGGATGCTTCATAGTCGAGCCTCGAACGGTGAAGAGAGGCTGGCCAGTCAGTACCCAAGATCACCGAGCTCCTACAGCCGGGGGTTTATGATGTTGATGTGGAAGTTGAGGTATCTAGAGGTATAGCAGCATTGCGAGTTAATAGTTTTTTTTTGACATCGTCGGGCCTGCACGAGAGCGGCCTATGTCGTCCTGGAAAGGAAGACACTCTTCAGCTAAGATAGAAGCCTAAAGACTTACCAATATTATGCCTTAAGGTTCCTTATTTTATTTCTAGCATAATATACCCCGAAACCCTCTCCTATGATAAAGGCTCCTATATTACAAACAGGAGCCCACCGCACACAGAAGTTCGTGAGGACCTTCCCCTAGAGTCCTGGCCAAGAGGAGCCCAATGGCGTACGTACCCAGAGGCCCCATAGAAGTTCCTTTTGGGGGTTCATAAGTAGAATTCTATAAGGCAACCCCCAAAAGGAACTACTATGCCATAAGCCGGGCTTTGACGAGGTCAACCCGAATTGTGTAGTATAGAGGCCTCAATAATCTCCAATACTTATTTGGGGTTTCCTTGTGATAATTATAGTACAAGATACCCCAAAACCCTGTTCTAATCATTAAGGCCCCGACAGTATGTACCTAAGGCACTGCGGATACGGTCTCAGGATCTCGGCAGCCGGAGGATTCTTGACGTAGCTATTGCTCAAGATCCTTATAGGGGTTCCTTAAAAGGGGTCTTTATGGGATCTATAGTATACCTGGACCCCAAAAGTATGTAGAAAAATTGCTTTTTAACGGTTTTGAGCCATTATTTTACCTACTTTTGAGGGTCTAGGTAGCATTAGATGAGTGGTGGGCAGCGCGGACAAGTGCAACCACATGGGCCTGCACAACTGAATTAGAGCTTAGGGAGTGCATTGTCGCATAACTATACAAGGTCTATAAGGGCACAATCTTGCCATTTCTAGGCTGGTTTCGGAAGTAGGGTGAGCCCATCGGGATTCTGATAACCCAAACTTTGTTTATTACGTACGTCGCAGGGTCCTTTAGCAGCAAACCCTATGCCCTACTTTTTAACTGCCTGTGTCCCAGAGTATTCAAGCTGCTGCCAAGCTTCCGGAGGCCATGAACGCAGAGCTTAAAACCAAGCTCAGCGAAACCCTGCGCGGCATGCAGCAGCTGGAGGCAGCATGCATGCATGATATGAGCAGAAGTCAGTTTAGCATGCTTCAAAACCCGAATCTAAGAGCACAACAGCATGCATCTGGAAGCTGGTGTCTATACGACCGCCATTCCTCTAGCAGATGTGTGGATTGATTAGTCTTGCGGCTCAGTCTAGAGGCCTCTGGGTCTGTCTGGAGTGTCACGATTACGAACTAATTATGTTACGGTATATCATGTTATAATCTATAAGTGTATTCTAAGTATGTTGCAGTACATGGTGGCATTCAACGGTCGAATCCTCAGTCTTACCCTCAACGGGAGCTTGAACACCACCGCCTCAAACGATTCAATACTGAGGCCTCCCTCAACTAGTAACTAGTATTCTAGTAGCAAGTCAACGCGATTGACCTAGGGACTATATCGATGTCGTATTGTAACCCCCCAAGCCCAATTCTGCTTCTTAAGACGATACTTAACTGTAATCATTAATAATACATGGGTGGTTGTCAAAATTATGGCCCCTTGTTGGGTACCCTAAATACTAGGTGCCGTACTATATCAGGGACCCAAAAAGGGACCAGAATTTTGACAACCACCCACATGAATCAAAAATCCCTCAACCCTGGCGCCGACCTGTCGCTCGAAACCCTACTTGGAGGGTCGGGGGACTTAGTAACTGGTTATTTTAGGGACTTATAAGTACCATAACCCCAATTAGGGTCCCTTTTAGGGTACTTATAAGTCCGAGTCCTTTATATATGAGTCCTTAGATGCCTAGGGATTGTGGTAACTTAAGTTAGATCCCTTAACCCAGAGAGCCCAATACCCCTTAATTAAGGAATATAGATGAAATTATATGGGGCTTCATAGTATGATTTAAGCTATATTCCTTAATTAAGGGGTTTCGGGCTCTCTGGGAACAAGAACCCTAAACCCTAAATTAGATCCCTTAACAAGAACCCAGCCTGAGGCCTCCGCCCGTCAAGCGGAAGAGGAGGTCTACACGGCTCGGCGTGCGTGCCAACGAGTGCGGGAGCGGCGTTTCAAGGTTCGCTTCGAAGTTTAGGGTTTGAGGTTTGGGGTTTAGGGCTAGGGCATAGGCTTTCGTTTTCGGACTTTCTTGTTTTTGGAATGGTGGTTTGAGTGTTAAGCTGCCGGTTTCGAGCCGTATACAGGCAAGCTTCGGTGCAGTATGCACAGGTACAGATTCTAAATCTTGACTCTAGCGGCCTTTGGGGTTCTTGGATTCAAATTCCCACCAGTTTATGGTTGATGGTTTAGCGTTTACTGACATGGAAATAGGTCCGCCGAAAACCAGGATCATGATGGTCGTCTGGGGCCTAATTCCATCTCTCAGTAGTTTGGGTTTTGCGTGAATGGGTCTAAATTTAGGGGCCGAAAGCATCAGCAATCCTGATCCTTGGGTCCCTTACAGCAATTCGAATTCGATTATCTTGTACCCCTTTTTTGGCCCCAAAGCCCCATTCGACTCATTAAGGTCCCTAAGCCGCAAGTAGGGTACCGAAAGATTTACACCTTGTCGGGTTTAGGGACCTCCCTACTTAGAGGATCGGGGGAGATCTGGCAGTTTTAATTAGGTTATAGTTGAGGTAACCAGAGGTATATTGAATAACAAGGTCAGGTGAGGTACCTGGTATGTAGGGGCTTAAATGCTTACATGTACTATTTTGCAATCTCCCTATAATGGTTATGGTATAATGGCCCCCGAACCTTATTCTAGTTATTAAGGCCCCTGCATTAATTTAACTTACTGAGACCCCTGATCTTCCAAGCTAAGCTTACCTTTCTAAGGAGTCATATAGGGAAACCATCATACGGAGCCCTAAAATTAGGTTGTTCAAGGTTTCAGGTACAAAGTATCATAAATACAAATGTGCTGGATATGTTGGCTCCAACACCATACACTTTTGGTACTTGGACATTTGCTAGGGCTGAGGACGTATCTAGGGAATTAGTTTTAGAGCCTTGGATCTAGGGGTTTGGGACTTAGGGTCTTCAGAGTTTGCCTACCAGGCAAGAAGCTTCAAACCCCAAAGCCTCAACCCTGAATCTACTTGGAGGTTCATGGGTAGTGGTAGGTGGGGTAACTATAGTTATAAGCCATATTGGCTCTACCTATAACTACCCATAAACCTCCAAGTAAGCCCGGAGAAGTCCACACGCCAGGCCGCAGCGGAGGCAGAAAGCTTTGCCTCTGCTGTGCAGTCGGCAGTTCGACGCCGGGAGGAAGAGGGAGCAGAGCTTGCGCAGGAGAAGATCCCAGAGAGCCCAATACCCCCTAATTAAGGAATATAGCTTAAATCAGACTATGAAGCCCTATACAGTTTAAGCTATATTCCTTAATTAAGCGGTATTGGGCTATTTGAAACGATGGGCCTCGGATTTGATTGGGTCTTACGGGAAAGGTAGAAATCTGAACATTTAGGAATAATATCCGCTCGCCGTCACTGTGGAATCCCATTCTGGTATATCACCCCACCCCAAAGAGATTCATTCTAATCATTATTCAAGGCCCTTGTGTATATCTTCTTGCGACATCAGTCAGGGTCAATGGGGAGGATAGACTTTCAATGCTCAGCTCAGGCTCACTGTCTAAATGTTTGGCGTTGGGCGGCTTGGAAGTAGGGTTTCGGAGTTCTCCGGGTTCTCTTGCTTTGTAGCGGGAATGCTGGCGGCGAACGTGAACGATGACGGTTTTCTATAGTGCTAAGGCACGTCATACACGTGATTCTGGCTTTGCTTGCCACGAAAGCTGGAGTGACCGGATGACGATGCTTGTCATCATGCTGTTGCTGTTGCTGTGGTTGGGCGATGGTGAGTTTGTGAACATAGTGACATCGTGGCTGTCAGCGAGCAGAAGAGAACGATGATAGTGATGGTGAGGATATATATTGGAGGATGACTGCAGCCACTGCTTTAGCGGACTTTAGCGTGTACCCTCAGACCCTGTATTACGATCCGTATTCAGCCTAGATTCAGTCAAATTTGGTGCTTCTGGCCTCGCACTGGTCTTGAAGACCGGAACATGGACGGCGTAGAAGGTTACCATACTGCTAGTCGATACCAGGCTTACCAAGTACCATAAGACTCATAAGACTCTAAATAGACAGCACACCCCAAAGCCTGAACATGCAAGCCGTCCTTGTCAAATCACCTTATAAGCTTACGAAACCGCTTACCTATAGAAACTGTCAAACCCTAGAAGCCTACTTTACATGGCAGGCCTTATGGGTACTAACAAATTGAAGGTTTATCCAGTCTCTACGGGGTTGCGGAAGAAACTGACGTCACCTTTATCATGGCTCCAAGCCCTGTGAATCCAAAGCCCCAAACCTGCTTCCTAACCCTAAGCCCTACGGAATGTTGCACATTGCCCAACTAATTAAAGGGAACTCCAGAAAGTTGGAATATGGATTAATGGTAGGATCCCCTATAATTTACCTTAAAAGGGGCTACGACAATAATCTTCCAACTTTCCGGCTTCTACTGTAGGATCAACTACGTGTCCCCAGGTCCTAAACCCCAATCCCTTAAACCCCTAAACCCGGAGCATGACCCCAGAGCCTCCAAAACCCCTTAATTAAGGAATATACCTTAAAGTATAGTAGGATCCATAATATGATTTAAGGTATATTCCTTAATTAAGGGGTTTTGGAGGCTCTGGGACACCCTAAACCGAATACTAAACCCAACTAGGTGTTGGGAGCTCTAGGGCAAAAACTGCCGGCGAGGAGAGGGAGATGGCCGAGAGGCTGCTCGTGGAGCTTACGGAAAAGACGGAGGCTGGGTTTAGGGCTTTAGGGTTTCCGGGTTTAGGGTTTTAGGGCTCAGGGTTTTTAGGGTTTTAGGGCTTCAGGGTTTAGGGTATCGGCTTTATGGTTGATTTACATGAGTTTCGTAAGCGTTCTATAGCTAGTACATCGGGACTTCATGAAGCTTCACAAAAGTTTGCCATAGGGTGTACCACAAGTCTCTTGGGAAGTTGTGCGGGCTTTTGGGCTCTTGTTGAGTAATCTAAGTTGCCAGAATAAGGAAACCACATTATTCACCAATTTTACCATAGATCCCAACTGAAATTAAATCCCTGAGCAAGGACTCAGGGTTTTGGGCGAGTCTATGACGCATGAAGGGTTCGAAAGTTTCGGTCTTAGGAAGCTGTGTAACTTTTGTTTAGGGTGTTGGGTTTCGGGTTTAGAGGCTTCTTTTGGGGACCTGATGTACGGCTTAGGGTCTAGGGGTTTGGAGGTTCGTGTGGATTGAGACCTTGGTCTGTCCGAAAAGCCATCACGGCGCAGTAGACAAGTATAGATGCTCGCTGCCCCGAACTATAACACGAAATACCTATAGTCTCCATTGCAGTTCTATTTTGGGTTACCTTATGGCATCCTTAATATATCACTGGTTGAACCAAAAAAGGAACTATAATGGAGACTATAGGTAAGCCCATGGATCCTTTAAAAGTCCATACCCTTGAGGATCTGTTGCCACGGAGTGGCACATAGCAGCTACGCAGCATCTTTTGTGCTCCGGACGCAAAAGCCCTACATGTAGGGTCTATAGGGTACATCCCTAGACCCAGGTTGCTAGCACTTGTGCCGCTCAGTCGCCCAGTGCAATGTTGCACATCAGGATGCTCTCAGGGGAAGAGGTGGCCAGCCTGCCGGTGGGGGAGTTGACTGATGTGAAGGAACTGAAGCGGCATTTGCATCAGCTGCATGGCTGTCCACCTCGATTCAGACAACGGCTGCTTCTTGGTGGCAAACCAATGGACGACTCTGTCAAGCTGGACTCGCCTATGGACTTAGACCTGGTACTGCTAGCATACTCGGCTGGATCCCCGACGCAAGCAGACGAGCTGGTGGTTGCCGCCAACGACGGTTCCACAACTGAGGCCAATACCCTGAAAGCCTGAACATACCTATAGTCTCCATTGTAGTTCCTTTTTTTGGTTTAACCAATAAAAAAAATTAAGGATCCCATAAGGTATCCCACAAAAAGAACTACAATGGAGACTATAGGTATGCCTTTCTGAAGTAGGCCTCTCGACCTGTAGCCCGTGGTTTGGATGACGTCCCAGAAGACCTCAACTCTGAACACCTGACTGCAGGTTGAGACGCTGCTGCAGCTGCCCCGAAATCCCGACATTGCCAACACACAGGGCAGACGTCCACTGATCGAAGCTTCTAATCGAGGCCATGTTGAAGTCGTTCGGCTGCTGCTGGATGCAGCCGCCGACACGAATGCGTCAGACAGCAATGGCGACACTGCCCTAAACAAAGCTTCTGCACGAGGCCACGTTGAAGTGGTTCGTTTGCTCTTGGATGCAGATTCCGACAAGAACTTGGCAGACAACAATGGCATCACTGCCTTGATCTGCGCTGCTGAACGAGGCCACGTTGAATTGGTTCGTCTGCTATTGGATGCCGGTGCTGACAGCAATTTGGCAAACAACGATGGCGACACTGCGCTGATCTGTGCTGCCGCCCTCGGCCACGTTGAAGTGGTTCGTTTGCTATTGGCTTCAGGTGCCGACACGAACGTGTCCGACACCAACGGCGTCACTGCGCTGAAGACCGCTTCGGATAATTACCATTACAAAGTGGTTCGAATGCTGTTGGATGCAGGTGCCGACACCAAGACGGCCCAGTATCTTAGGGGTACTTAGAAATAATTGTCAATTTTTTGTTATTATAATCCCTAAGAAACAGCCAAAAGTGCAATTGTTGCTAGGGTTCTAAGTTCAGTATAGATTATAAGTCCCCTTAATAGGAGTTATAACTATAGTTACCCTAATTATAACTCCTCTTAAGTTCAGTATAGGTACAGTGGCATCACTGGCCTGATGGCAGCTTCTATTCATTTGCTGCAGGCTGCGGGTGTCGACGACAGCCCGACCAGAAAACGGAGACACGACATGGAGCAGAGTTTCTTGAAAAGAACAAGGTAAGCCTATGAACGTGTGCTGAAGGCATCGCATGCAACGACTTGTTTAGCGGATTTTAGCGGTGACATCTGCCTGATTGCACTCTCAAAGCTTCTCTGCGCGTGGCTGTCGGTGCCACAGACGGAGCTGCTTTTGAGTCGTCTCACGAGTTGTCGAAGCCCCATTCCCGGATGGAGAAACAAGTTCTTTTCAATACACAACTACCTAAACCCTGCCCTACCCTAACCCAGAGAGCCCAATACCCCTTAATTAAGGAATATGGCTTAAATTATACAGGGCTTCATATCATGATTTAAGCAATATTCCTTAATTAAAGGGTATTGGGTTCTCTGGGAAGCCTCCATTCCCAGAGACTCCAATATCCCTTAATTAAGATTAATATTCCTTAACTTATAGTAGGATCTCTGGGTTGGAAATAGAAACTCCCGAGGCCTTGGCTGCGGATTCCGCGGAGCTCCGCATGCGCTCCGCCGCCGCCGCAGGGCGGCAGGTGGAATTCTGGCGACAAGAAGAGGAGAACCCTGAATAGAGGGTTTTAGGGTTTAGGGTTTAGGGTTTACAGGGGTTTAGAGGTTTAGGGCTTCAGAGGCTTAGGGGTTTAGGGGTTAGGGTTGAGCAGGAGGCTCCTGAATCCAGCTCAGACCCTGAACCCTACACCGCAAGCCTATAAGTTCCACCAGATCCTACACCAAGCCCTAAAGAAGCTAAGCCCGAGCGCCGGCAGCTTAATTCAGCTTAGGATGTACTTTAAGTGTTCCACAGGATTTGTGTGTGGGTATGTCAATGGTTCTAACTCAGGGGTTTTCAGCCGGCTTATTTACATTGTTGGCTCTTGCAGATGCTCCTCAGCTCAATATTATACGGGTAGTTCCCCAAATTAGGGTCCCTTGAGGGTCCTCTTTGCTGGACTATTTTGTCGACCTAAACATTGACCAGAACCTAGAGAACTACTTGGGGGGTCGGGGGACTTAGTAAGTAGGTGGTAAGTAGACTTATAAGTACCCTAAAAGGGACCCTAATAGGGGTTATGGTACTTGTAAGTCCCTAAAATAACAGTTACTAAGTCCCCCGACCCTCCAAGTACCCATATTGTTCAGGCGCACTTTGCTGGTCTGGGTGGAGGGGTAATTGACTTTCGAAGAGAGAGAGAGAGAGAGAGAGAGAGAGAGAGAGAGAGAGAGAGAGAGAGAGAGAGAGAGAGAGAAAAAAAAGAGAGAGAGAGAGAGAGAGCAAGCGGTGCTTCTACATTCTGCTGATGTTTTGGGGTTCAGGTCTGGGCTTTGGGGTAGTTTTGTTTGGAGTTCAGGTTTTGGGCGTCGAGGGTTTGGCGTGTGTAGGGCTTATGAACGCAGGTGCCTGATGAGCAACTTCACATTGTCCTTCTACTCTGGTGCTTGGTTGCTTCGACAAAGGGGCCAGACGAATCAGGGGCCTAAACCCTAAACCCTGAGCCTGTCCATGCAGTACGGAAGTCTCTTAGCTACAGCGTTCATCAGGTGTTGCAGGAGCAGTTCTGGGGATGCTTGGGTTTAGGGTTTAGGGTTTAGTTGGTGATGTTCTTTTATTGCTTGGGGACTGCACTAGCTGGAACAGGGGACCGAATAAATCAGAATATTCCAACTACTCATTGTAGACTAGAATAACCGACCCCCAAGAGCCTATTCTAATCATTGAGGCCACAATATTACCCTATGCCTCCAGGGACCTGATTATGGGGTCCTTAAGGGGGCCCTGGCCCTAACTATGAGGTCCTTGGAGGGATAGGGTTAATTGGTGGGCCTGTCTGCCAGGAGATGAGTGTTTTGGCCGACCAGGCAGAGGAGGTGCGGCAGGAGCTCTCCAGCGCCGAGCTTATTATAGGGTTCAGACACATAGAACTGGGTTTAGGGTTTAGGCTTCACAAACATCGCGAGCCCCCTGACTGCTAACTCGTCCCTGCTACCTTGGAAACCTTGAAACCTATACCCTAAAGTTCTCAACCCATAAACCCCCGAAACCCTAAGCCCCAAAGCTCAAAGCCCTTAACTGCGCATAGCTGAGGCCGAGAGAACGGTACTGAAGAGTGGCGCGCCAGGCAAGCTTTAGTTCCATATTCCCTAAGGGTCCATGTGCCCAAATAGTATATGCTCTGGGCCCAATGTATCTATAAAGGGAGTACTTTAAGGCCAATGTATATACTATTTGGGTACATGGACCCTTAGGGTATTGGTACAGGGCTGCTAACTACACACTAAGGTAGCTGCCAAGTGCGTTTACGCGGCTTCGATACTGGGCTGTGGCAGGAAATGTAACCTACTTGAAGAGTCTAAGCCATTTACAGGTGGGTAGTTTTAAGGTGGGTAGTCTCCCATAAGCCTTCCATACCACTCCTATAAGGTAAAGGGGTCTTATGGGAGTACTATGGAAGAGGAACTACCCACCTGTAATGGGCTTCTAAAGAGGCTTGTTCGGCTTCGGGGTTCTGCGGGTGTAGGGTTCGCTCGATTTTTGCACGCAAATAGATCAGTTCAATGTTCATGGGTATGCCTGTCTGTCTGTGTACCAAGGGGCTGCGCTTCAGACTGTCAAAAAGAGAAGGATAGAATAGAGTCGGTTAGAAAAGACAAGCCAGCAAGAGAGGTGACGAGTACAGCGTAGCCTAAGTACATGCCCAGAGAACCCAATACCCCTTAATTAAGGAATATACCTTAAATTATAGAGGCCTTAATATTATGATTTAAGGTATATTCCTTAATTAAGGGGTATTGGGATCTCTGGGTGAGATATAGGGCCTTCGGAGTGATCGCTGCTCTTTGTCATCAGCCAGTAGAGACATCTTTAGGATCAAGAATCGAAGTCGCATCCCGTGATGCACTGCACGGCCGGAAGCCGCCTTCCGAAGATTTTGAGACAGGGCAGCTTTGCAAGCTCGAACTTGGCTAAAACAGGCATGTACCTCCGACCTGTGGTGCCATTTTCAATTATTTTTCTGGCCACTAAACCCGAAACCCTAAACCCCTATGCCCTAAACCGCGCAGATGCCGGGAAGAGGGAGAAGAGGCAGATGTTCTCCGGCACTTGCGGCAGGAGACGCTGACCGGTATGGCATAATCTAGCAGACTTAGCCTTTGTACATATATATATATATATGTGTGTGTGTTCACGTATTAACTGTGATGTATCCAATATACAATTTCCTGTGTTTGCACGATCTAATATGATTTCTGATAATACGCCTGACCCCAAGCACCTAACGGACTCAGCATCCCGTATGTCACTAGATAGCCCTATACCCCGCAGCTTTCAACCCTGATATCTACATCTGTCTGTGTTTTGGTTTTGCTGAATTCAGGGTAACATACGGGCCTCAGCAATTCTTCCTGCTTTTCGAAGGGTAATCGACATCAGTAGCTTGAGCAGACTGATTCCTGCATCTAGGACTTGTTTCACATGAGCCACAGACGAAGATCATGGGTTCCTTGATAATTATGGAATTGGGGAGTGAGATGTTTTTACTACTAAAAGGCTTATATACAGGGCTATCATAAGGATCGACTGGAGTTATTCATAGTGGGGATTTGTGGAAGTGTTCAGCGTGTTGAATTATGGTGTTGTTTGTTTCAACATGAGTCTACAGTAGTTCCAGACGTCCAAACAGGTTCGTAATGTAGAGGAGTTTCGAGAGGTGTGTGTGAACCTCAAAAGGGAACTACTTTGGGGCCTGTGGGTAATACTTCGATGCTCCATAGTAGCCACGCTAGTACAAATGTCCCCCCCCCACGCACTAAACCCTAAACCCGGAACTCGTGAGTTCTGCACCGGCACTCTTGAGCCCTACATTCGAGCCAACCGCGTTGAACCCATGCGCAGGAGGCTGCCGCAAACTCGACATCAAGACTCGAGAGAGAGGACTGGTTGGAACATGAATATATTGGGATTTTGAGGATGATTAGAGTAATTATGTCCAAACCCCTACAGTAATTGCCAGGGCCTTTATGTTTGACCCTATGAACTTTCGGCCCTACCCTAAACACCGGATCCGGACCCGGTCGACATGTATGGCGAAAGTTCTCTGATCGCGGTCCCTCAAGAAGAACATATGAATACCGAAAGGTTTAAGGTTTATGGTATGCTGCTAGATGCTGCTACATGACATGTATATGCTATGTAGATACCTGGATTCTTATGCTAACATTTCCACCCGAATCCCGGATACTAAGTCGAGGACGGAGTGCAAGACCCATTGGCGCGACAAAAGTTGATTTCTTTGTTGGCTATGTTCACCAATAGTACTCTATTGCAGTTTTTTTCTTTTGGGGGTTCTGTTATTCCAGCCACACATAAGATCATAAGGAACAAGGGTACCCTTACTATTATTATTCAGGGGCTACGCAGGCACCTAGTACTTGTGGACTGCTGCAGAACTCAACCACCTTCGTAATAGTTCAAGACATGCCTGCACCGGGCAGAAGTACAAATGCGCGGAGTGAATCTCTTGTATTCCCTACTATAAATACCGTCTAATAAAAAAATAATACTAATACACCCGCAGGAAGAGCTCGTCGAACATCATCGCACATCCATCCGCACCGCAGAGACCGCTGCACAGAGTCAGAAGGGACGAGTAGCAGAAATGAGGCCAGGCATGCTGGGGTTATTGGAGCTTGTTTAAGATTGCTTAGGGCCCTGAGCTTGCCGTTTAGAGTTTCAGGGCTCAGGTTTTGGAGCTCAAAAGGTATAGGGTTTAGAACTTAAGGGGTTTAGGGGCCCTGGGGTTTAGAGTTCCGTTGTCAGGGCCTGAACAATTGCTATCGGCGGTGGGGGTCTATTTTGCTTATCCAGAGATTCAGTGTTATTTTGACTTATATAACGGTGCATACAAATGCAGTTTGGCCGTACAGGGTGTAATCGGGCCCCCTCAAATACAAGAAAGCTTCTCTTCAAGTTTCTATTGTGGCTCCATGCACCCGCTTTGCGGGTTATACCCGCAATCACGATACCCGAAACCCTACACCCTAAAACCCAAAACCCTAAACCCTAGACCCCTAAACCCGCAAAGTCCCTAAAGCCGACACACCTAAACCCTAAGCTAAGGGCATCCTGGCCGAGCCTGAACCTGAAGCCCCCGAAAACAAATGCCGCTAAGCCCTTACCCCGACATCCTAAACCCAAAAACCTAATGACGGTACTTAAAGGATCATGGGACTTAGTAACCAGGGTTATGCTTAGGGTAACTATACTTATAACCCCCAATTAGGGTACTTATAACCTTACTTACTAAGTCCCATGATCCTCCAAGTAGAAGGCCCCAAAGGCCCTCAACCCCAAATCCTGGACACCGAAACCTGGGCCCCCGAAAAGCTCGTGTACCAGGCAGCGGCTGGAGTCCGACATTGCGGCGCAGAATGAGGAGCTGGAGGCTACGCGGATGAAGGGGTCAGGGGTTGAGGGCTTCAGGCTCAGGAAGTACTATATAGGGTCACTATAGGCTTTCGACAAGGTCGCCGTTCCCCTTTCTTGGGATTTCGGCGTTCCTTTAACCCTGGGCCTGCTCCGGTGGTTATCCCTAAGAGCCCATGTACCCAAACAGTCTATACATTGGCCTGAAAGTATTCCCTATATAGATACATTGGGCCCAAAGTATATACTACTTGGGCACATGGACCCTTAGGGTATGGTATTCGACTTGATGAGTAGTGTTGCGTGTATTGATTGGTTCTATTGAAGCGATGCGCCTATTTTGTACATTTTGTGGCCCCAGACTCTTCTTACTAAGGTTCCGCAAGACCAGCGTACATACTAAATGGATCGGGCTGAGAGGAGCGAGTGTTCTCCCGAGTCCTCGCAAAAGTGAGGAATTTTAAAGTCTTTCCGCGCACAGGAACAGCTCATAAACGCCTTAGCGTCCGTGAACATGAAGTTATGAGCCCGCTTAGGCGCCTAGCAGGCATCCTGCTCAAGCCTCCTCCAGCAACTCATGTCGATGTCTCTTGTTGGAACCACGGATCATGTTTGGGTCGTTCCAAAGCATTGCGAAAGCCTCTACACATGCCAACCACAACTGTACGTGCCAGAGCAAACACAAGGAGCCCTTCGATTAAGCCCCAACCCAACAGCAGCAACAACGAGAACAACAACAACAACAACAACAACAACAACAACAACAATAAGCTCATGAAGCCTGAATCTCGCAGCACCTTCTTTCCGAAACTACAGCCTCCAAGCCTTTGCGCCAGTAAGCCCTATGCCCCCGAAGCTGCAAAAACGCCCCGCCCCCCCCCCCCCCCTGAGCCCTAAACCTCGAATCGTGCTGAATTTTCAACTTCTCAATCCTGAATCTTTGTAAACCCCTGAGGCCCAAAGCCTGATTGTCCTCTGGCTGGCTTAAACACTTTCAATTCTGGTTTCAGAGTATGCTAACATGCCTCAGTGGTCTTTCAAGGCCAGCCCAGACCATCAAAGGGGGCAAGCCTAAAAGTTGAATCTCTTCAAACTCTGAGTCACAAACCCTCAGTTTTCACCCGCACACCCTCGAAGCCTGAATCGCAAACCGTAATCCCGAAGCCTTCAATGCCCACGTCATCTCTTCATTATCTTTCATGTATATACATATATACATATATGCATGCTATATGTTTATATGTTTTTACATACTTTAAATATACTGGTGTGTGTCTATACATATATATGATTGATACAAGGTTACGAAGCTATGCTGAATTATGCTTGCGTGTATGGAAACCCCGGCAGGCCCTCGCTCGCCAGAGCAAGGCCCGCCGGTCGGAAGAGGCACTTTGAGAGCCGTGGTTTCGTGGTTTAGTACCGGGAGTTTCCACGGTTCCTTTAAGGGTCCCTTTCAAGGGATCTATGGGGATTCTATAGGGGTATAGGGTTTAGGGCCTACTTGGAGGTTCATGGGTAGTTATAAGTAGGGTTCTACGTCCCCTAATAGGAGGTATAGCTACAGTTACCTACTTATAACCCCACTGAATATAACTACCCATGAACATCCCAGTAGGGTTTCGGGCTTTAGGGTTTGGGTTTAGGGCTTATAAGGTTCGGGGTACTGTAGAGCTCGACGGGTAGGGGCTGAGTTGTTTAGGGATCCATCAACCTTTAGTGGTTCATGGTCAAGTACACAGGGCGTCTTCAGGGATTTTGAAAGAGATAGCACTGTTTTTTTTCCGATCAGGGGTGTTTACAATTAGAGCTTTTTTTGTTTTCGGGGCAGGGTGTATCATCGAAGAATTATAGCAAGGATCCCGACGTCTACAATAGAGATTAAGCTTCAGGGCGTGGGGGCTAGGGACTGGTAGGCGTTCAGTTTCCGGAATGTCGGTTGGCTTTTGTACACAGCCCGATTGTATTTCAAAAATGGCGGCGAGAAGAGGGCTGGGGATCCACGATCCTTTCATAATCAACTTCAGGTTCATATGGTTCATATTGTGTCCATAAGTCCATAACGTAATTGACCATTCCTCAAGGCAGCAGTGCATAGCAGTAGCAGTGCATCTGTTTTGTGTCTGCCGCGTGTGGCATTGCAAGGGCTCGTCGTGGCAGATGCCGAAAGTGGATCCTTCAGTTCCGCCGTGTGAGCGTAAAGAGAAGATCGACCTTGCCTATCTCGGACTGCATGCCGCCAGCGTAGACCCAGAGAGCCCAATACCCCTTAGTCAAGGAATATGGCTTAAATCATAATATGAATCCCTATATATTTTAAGCCATATTCCTTAATTAAGGGGTATTGGGCTCTCTGGGGACTCGTCATGACTCGTCGACAGCTCTCATACCGGGCTCGGGTTGAGCTTGCGGGCAAACAGTTCGGGTGCCGGGACAAAGATGCGCCCGAATACGTGGACAGTTCCCAGCTTTGCGTCAAAATTCTATTACATGAAGCGGGGGAGTTTCGCAAAGCTCAAGCTGATGGATTTCCTTGCGATCCTCAATGAATCTTGTGCCGACCGATTCAGTGGCCAGTTCTGGCATTTCTGAGGGCAGCTTCAGGTACAGGTTCTGAAGACCAGGGCAGTAGCCAACCAGGCAGAGTCGTGGCACATGCACTAGGACGTGTGAGAAAGGTACTTGCGATTTCACAAGGACTAGGGCTGGTGCTCCGAAACATGTCGGAACAGATGAGTACCTGGAGCGGTTGACGTCACTGAGCACACAAGCTCGAATATTCCTGAAGCCTTCATTTGGTTTGCTTGAAACACATGCGGACACCAGACCGGTGCCCCTCGTCGATGACCATCCCAATTCCAATGCTCGAACGGCTCGAATCTGCATCTTTGTAGACCTAAACGTTGGATCTCACGCAGACCCTTGGCATGGGTCTAGATCCGAATTGCGATCGCATGCCCGCTATACCCTGCGCTGTGAGCTGTGAGGCCGCCTCGGCAGCTTCCGCCGAACAGCACTTCGCGACCCGTCGTCGGGCCCTTGCCAACGAGACGCGGGCGCTGCAGGCCGTGGAGGGGAAGGGAAGGAAAATGGATTTCGGAGTGTGGGTATTGCTGATTTAGGGTGTTAGGGTTTCGGGTTTAATTAGGGTGTCAGGGTGTCAGGGTGGTACAGTCACTAGGGCTGCGCACGGCTCTCAAACCTCGGACCTTTAGGCCTCGGGGCTAATAACTTTATTGACTGATGACAAGTTAAGACAGAGTTTGCCACAGCTAGATGCAAGAACAGTGCAATTGACAAAGCAAGGCAAGTGAAGAGTAAGCTGGTACACAAGACGCCAAACCAGGGCAACAACAGCAAAGTCAAGACGTTCGTAACTACCACAACAAGCTTTAACATATTGTCAAACAGTCCTGGCAATCTGTTCAAAAACTTAACTACTTATAACTGAAAGCAAAAAGATCGGAGGCCCTAAACCCTATACCCTTTTAGAACCCCTACAGATCCCATTAAAGGGACCCTCAAAGGAACCCTTAAAACTACCCATGAACCTCCAAGTGAGGATTCCTTCAACGCTGCCCTGGCGGCTGCCGAATCGGAGGCTTTCCTGCTTGTAACGTAGTCGTAGACCAGGACCCCCCAAAGACCCTTGAGTAGAGCCGGTATGGCCCTTAGTAGTGGATATTTAGCGTACGAGCTGGGGGGAGAGGATAACCTTTAGCCTTTTTTGGATTTGGTGGTTTTAGGACTTTTGGGCTTAACTTGAGGGTTTAACTTATTCAGGATGCTCAACCCCGACAGGTTTACCCACGAGTAAGTTAACATAGGTTCATGGTCCTGGGTACAGTTGGAACCGGGTTTCTATCGGGGTTCCTTCAAAGGGTTTTCATGTTTAGCGTCCGTCACTAGTGTCTCTACAAGTCTTCCTAGACATGTTTTCTGGAAGGCTTCAAGTATGGGCTTTATATGGGTTCTGTCCGTGTTTTTGGGGCTTCAGCATAGGGGCCTTAGCAGTTACAATAGGGTTTCGGTCCAGGTATTACAATTTCTGATGAATAACATTGGAACGGTATACCAATGCACCGAGTGTTTGCGACCTCCATATTGTCTCATGCACCGGTTTCGCTTGCAGGGTTGGGGATGTTTTTTTTGGTTTAAGGGTTTAGGATCTAGGGCTGAAGCTGATGTAAAGGCTCGGGATTTGGGACTACAGTCTTTGGGATGTGCGCTTCAAGGTTTACCAAGGTTCTTCTATCATGCCTGTTGAATGGCATCATAACGGATGCTGACACTCATTTGCTCGCTTGTCTTCGAGCCCGACCGCGGCTGGCGGGGGTAGAAGTAAAGGGGGGGGGGGGGAAGTTGGCTCCTGTCTGATAGGTCCTAGTCCTGGTTGCAGACTTTTCTTGGCCTGCAAACAGACGAGACACTCAGGTTCGGACTGCAAACAGACGAGACACTCAGGTTCGGATAACGCCAATGAAACCACGGGATTACTATTGCATCGCGCCTTTGTGCGGCGTTACTGGATGCTAACGCCAGGCCCCGTGTGGTGTCAGCTAAGATGGCTTACGCGTGATGCCTACGCGTCGTTACCTGGATGTCTGAAGCGCGAAGCCCAAGACTCTAAACTCCAAACATCTCTGAACCATACAAGTTGCATCCCTCTAAACGTATATAGACCAGATGCGCCCCGATTCCGTAGAAACCCGTCTAAGAAGCCTCGCAGTAACCCGCAACCCTTAATCCGAACCTCCGAAAACGTACTGTAGGGGCCTCAATAATTACCTATACTGTTTTGGGGGTTCCTTCTTATATTTATAGTATATTGGGCCCCAAAAACCTATTCTAATTAATGAGGCCCCTACAGTAGCATTGAGCAGGAGAAAGCTCTTCGCTGTCAGCGGCAGCGAGCAGAGGCCAGAACATGCTATGCAAGGATTCAGGAGGCTTTGGGATTCGGAGGATATTGATTTGGGAGTTTCCGAAAACAGGGGACCCCAATATAGTGCCCTAAGTAGTATTGTAAAGACCAAAATACGGTACCGTAATTTTCGGAAACTCCCATTTAGTTTAGAGGTGAGGTCGGTAGTTTTGGATTTGCAATGTGTTACCAGCTATCCCAAAGGCTCCATGTACCTTTGTAGTAGATACTTAAGCCTTAAAGGGGTCCCTATAGAGGTACTTTAAGGCCGAAGTAGATACTATTTGGGTACATGGACCCTTAGGGGCTAGAATTGCATTTTCGGGGAAACCCTGAGCCCCTGAACCCGGAGTGAACCCTATCCCCTGAACCCTGAACTAAACACTCGAAGCTGCAACAATCCTGGTTTCCCGCTCTATGTCTCCTAAGTACGAACCCAGATCATTGAACCCCCGAACCCTTAATCCCTAAACCCCAACCCCTGGACACCTAAAAAACCCTAAACCCTCAACTCTCAACCCCAAAACCCTAAACCCCTAAGCCAAGAAAGCGCTTTCCCAGCAACCGTTGGAGCGACTTCGTGCCCTCCAGAAGGCCATCAACAGCACCAGCAACGAGAGTTCCAGCTTGGAGGCATTGATGAAGATGATTTTGCATGACCTTAACATCCCCTAAACTGCAACCTCACCGTGATGGAGACCGCCAGGTCCAGCATGAGTTTCCTGCTCTTGAAGACCTACATGGGTGGTTGTCAAGATTAGGGTGCCTTTTTGGGCACCCTAAATATTAGATGCCGTTGTATAATAATGAGCCAAAAAGGGACCCTAATTTTGACAATCACCCACATCAGTTGCAACATCAAGATGGGGTGGGAGGCGTTCCGCTCGGATGTGGAAAATAATATCGAGAACACGTGCCGCTCAATGGGTGCTTCTGCAGGACAGCAACCCAAAGCTCGGGGATTTGACCCCAAAAACCTCGGCGAGGGTTTAGGGTTCAGGGTTTCGGGGGATTACAACACCAGACCTCGGGGATTGCCTTTAACTTGCTTGTAAAATGACTCAAACACCAACTTCAGGGATTAGACGACCCAGGCCTCAGGGATTTGAGCCCGCGAACTCGGGGGATTATACACCCCCTAAAACCCTAAACCCTAAACCCCTAAACGTTGGAGTCGCTTGCTTGGGATTTCGGGGAAAAAAAAATCTCAAAAAAAAACCTAAACAAGAAGCCCAAACCTTGAAGTTTCAGCCGCCTCGTCAGGCTTGCCATGCAGATGAGTCCTCGCTTCATGCGGCCTTGGCATCGGAGCTCGTCTTGGCTCGACAAAGCCAGGCCATGCTTCGTTTAGGGATTTCGGGGTTGTGGGGTTTAGGGCTTTGGGGCTTAGGGCTTGGGGTTTAGGGTTTGGGGTTTAGGGGTTTGGGGTTTAGAGTTTGGGGTTTAGGGGTTTAGGGTTCAGGGTGTGCTTCTCTTGTCATTTGCTAAGTTGGTAGGTCACTGTAGCAAAGCACTGCTTTCCTAGTAGTAGTAGTAGTAGTAGTAGTAGTAGTAGTAGTAGTAGTAGTAGTAGTAGCAGTAGTAGTAGTAGTAGAAGTAGTAGAAGTCGTAGTAGTAGTAGTAGTAGTAGTAGTAGTAGTAGTAGTAGTAGTAGTAGTAGTAGTAGTAGTAGTAGTAGTAGTAGTAGTAGTAGTAGTAGTAGTAGTAGTAGTAGTAGTAGTAGTAGGAGTAGTAGTAGTAGTAGTAGGAGTAGTAGTAGTAGTAGTAGGAGTAGTAGTAGTAGTAGTAGTAGTAGTAGTAGTAGTAGTAGTAGTCTAGTAGTAGTAGTACAATTACAATAATGGAGTGGCTTCCACAATTAATATAGGGTTCCTTGAACAGGTTAAAGGGTTCCTTCGAGGGTCCTAAGGGTTTTAATAGAGGTGCCTGACCAGTAGTAGGAATAAGGTGGTGGGGTATAGGAGGCTGTAGCTACGTAAACAAGGGCTGCTTTGACCCTTATACCCCCTAGGGTCCAAAGGACCCAATAATTAAACCATGGTTTTAGGAATAGTAGTTATGTAGGTTGCTATTTTGGAGAGTATATGATAAGAAGAGTATAAGAAGGTACTTGGACCCTTAGGGTACTATGCTCCTAAGAAGTTTTAGCCCCAACATCGGCCCAACACCTGAGACACAGCAAAGTGACGGCATGCATTTAAACGCTAGCCTAGGCCCAACGAACACATTGACACTAAACTACCCATCCCCAAAGCCCCAAGACTTTGAAACCCTAAAGCCCAGAAGCCTTCAAACCCGAAACTCCAAAACCCTGAAACCCTAAAGCCCTGAAACTCTCAACCCTATGAGCCCGAAAAACCTAACGCCCTAAATTGCGAAACGCTACATACCCTGATGGCTCGACCGAAGCAGGGGGCGCTCAGGGAGGCCGAGGAGGAGTTGAGCTGCAAGCGTGCGGAAGTCAACCTTGTAGAGGCGATCCCAGGAAGATTTGATAGGCTGTAAGTTTTAGGGTTTATAAGATCTAGGGTTTAAGGTTTACAATTTTTAAGGGGTTAGGGTTTAAGGTGTAATGTGAGCTCGCGATTATTAAAGGTCCCCTCAATAGAGCTAAACTCGGCCCGGAACTCAATAATGTAAGGTCCCCTCAATAGAGCTAAACTCGGCCTGCACGTAATCATAAACCAAGGTTTAGGTAAATAAGCACTCCTACTGCACGCCCTGGAAGAGGAGAGACAGAAACAGGCAAGATAGAGGAGACACAGAGAACAGAGATAGCCTGTACTACTGTACGACTAACTGTACTACGACTGTACTACTGTACTACTACTGTAGTACTATTGTGCTACTGTCCTACTAACTGTACTACTACTGAGAGCCCGGCCCCCCAAACAACTTCGACCCCGGCACCCACAAACAACTAAAGATGATCAGGAAGGCGGCACCCCCAAAACTATATCCGGAGACCACATTAGGGTTTAGGACTTGGGGTTTGCTGGTTTAGGTGTTTAGGGTTTGAGGTTTAGTGAATTCTCTGTTGCACCCTTTGAGTTACGTAGGACATTAAGGGTTCTATATTAGGGCTCTGGTAAAGGGGCCTTCTACAGTTTTGGGGTCCTCGCATGTTAGCGCAATCATACTATATTGATTTCAAGGAGCAGAGTAGGGAAGTGCTCGGGCCCCCCTTATACCTCAAGGGGGAAAAGGATGGACCCTTAATGGGGACCCCTACCCTATAATCGGCTATATAATGGGTATATAATGGCTACATGAAGGGCACATACCTAGGGGTCCTTATTAAGCGTCCCTCCTTTTACCCTTGGAATGACGGTTCCTACAAGGCATTGGGGTTTCGATTTCGTTGTCTCCCGCAATCATCGTGAAGCCTTTCCCGCCTTATACGAGAGAGAGTGGCGCCTAGACCCTACATGAGGGCTCGTGGGACTTTATGAGTATTAAAAGTACCTTACTTGGGGTTATAAGTTATGAGTAACTATTTCTATTACCAAGTCCCATGATCCTTTCAGTACATCCTTGTGTCCTAAATCCAGAGCCGTAGAGTCGGTTGGCCCAACCACTAGCAGTACACCCCGCACTTGGGAACTCAAGCACTAAGCTCTACAGCCACAAGCCCTGCCACTTCTTCGTCGCGGTTTCTGGTCAGGGCAGCACGAGAAGGACGGAGCTCCTAGAAAATAAGGATGTGAGTTTCCGAAAATTAGGGGCACCTTATTTTGGGGTCCTTATAACGGGGGGCCGACTTTTTAAATTTAAGGTACTGTATTAGGATCCCCTGTTTCGGAGACTCCCATATCAACTCCACTGAACTTGCTGGCGAAAGTGTAGCAGCTCCCACTTTCCCTTGCAGCGAATGCTTCATACACTCCTGAGGGTAAAGTCACTATTCGCCGAGAGGCTAGTCACCGTTTAGGGTTTACCGGGCTTTGGAGCACCATACTTTAATACTTTTTGGGACCTGCTACTTAAAGGGAACCAATTATGAACAAGAAGTCTATACTTTTTTCTCCCTGGTTACTTCAAAGCCCAGTTTAGGGTATGTATATAATCCCTGAGCCGGAATGGGCCCTGGTAGTCGCACGGGAATCTGCTGCAGACCTGCTTGCTAGCTGCTGGCCGAAGACGCCACCTGATTCTACAAGTTTAGGGTATACATCGGGTTCCCAGGACTCACAGCCATTATGCAAGACATGTGGAATCAACCTCAGGGCCAGGGGATACAGAAACTCGACCCTTGGACGACGCTTTGTTTAGTCTTCTCCGTTCGGCAGGCACGACAGCTGGGCCTGCGGCGACAGCAGGCCGTCGCCGAGGCAGCACCTGCTATGTGGTGGAAGTTCGTCAGCTCGTGAGCTTACCTCCTTCGTTACCTGCTCACCGAGATGCTTAAATCTACCTACTTGCGTCATGTGCTGGGCTTGTGGCCCTTAAGTACTGCGACAAATATGGTGTCGTTGGCGACGGGTCTAGGGGCAATCACATAGAGGTATCCTTTCTCCTTGCTCTACTCCCTGAAGCATGTCTCCTAATGTTGCACAAGTGAAACCTTAACCGAAAGCATGCCCTAAACCCGGTCGAAAGCCTGCAGTGAAGCCACCACGTGTGAGGTACTTGCAGGCATTAGGCCATTTGGGCAACCCATAGCTTAGTTTCATCTACCATGGGACCGATCTGGGCCCCTTACTTGGAGGTTCATGGGTAGTTATAAGTAGGGTTATAAGTCCCCTAATAGGGCTTACAACTATAGTTACCTTACTTATAAGTCCCCGGTTTTCAGGGCTTAGATTCCCTTGGGTTAGTAATCATGGTTTCTAGTTTGAGACATACTGATGGGGTACCTTCCCTCAACTTTTAGGAACTGTCTGGAAGTGAGAAATGGAACTGACAGAACGAAATGAAAGGGTGTCAGGGCTTGGTGTGTTCCTGTAGGGTTGTAGGAAGTTTTGCGCGAACGTTGCGAGACACAAGGCTGATGCCGTGGCAGATACACCTCCGCCGTCTTGATGCTGAAGCTGCAATTGATTTGGACGATGACAGCCCACTTCCAGGTGCAGCTGCAATGGTTCCAGCCGACGACGAGCCTGCGAGTGTGAGGACTGACAAGCATGGAGGAACTTGGTCTGTCCGCCGGAAAGCCAGCAATGGAAAGTCACTTCGCGACATTGTGAAAACGGAATGGGGAGACGTGCCACATCAAATCGTGCGCCACTCCAACTTATGCTACGTCTACTGCAAAGCGCACGAGAAGTGCGCACTTATAACTACCCATGAACCTCCAAGTACAGAGCCCTGAAACATCCCTTGGAGAGCCCCATAAACGTCAGAAATCTCAACGACGAAGTCGAAGGCAGAGCTGCAAGAGCAGTACGTGGAGCCCTCCTTGCTTGAGGCGTCGTCGGGTTGGGCAGGGATTGAAAAGAGCTTTTGGATGGAAGCCTCATGACAGGAGACTTTGTGAGTTGGCGTGCGACGAGATTACTTGGAGGTTCATCGGTAGTTATAAGTAGGGCTATAAGTCCCCTAATAATAGAGCTTATAACTACTTGGAGGGTCGGGGGACTTAGTAACTGGTTATTTTAGGGACTTATAAGTACCATAACCCCAATTAGGGTCCCTTTTAGGGTACTTATAAGTCTACTTACTACCTACTTACTAAGTCCCCCGACCCTCCAAGTATAGTTACCCTGCTTATAACCCTATTTATAACTACCCGTGAACCCCCGAGTAGGGTTTCTGCCATCAGGGTGTGCCAATTCTTGGTTGCGGGTTGTGCCATGGAGGTTGGATTTAGGGAACTGTGTTTAGACTGCTTCCAGATGCGAGGGGCATGGTGAGCCTACCTATAGTCTCCATTGTAGTTCCCTTTTTTGGTTTAACTTAGATATTAAGGATCCCATAAGGTAACCCCCAAAAATAACTACAATGGAGACTATAAGTAAGTTTGCGCCAGAAGCAGGCGTACTCAAGCAGGCAATACCACAGCCGGTTTGGCGCTTCGGGGAATGCCCAAGGCCCTGCACGGCAATTCCTAAGCCGAAATCTGCTAGCTAGACACAATGCAGCAACCCCCTGAACTTACAAGGTCTTCGAGCTGGGCTCACATGAGGGTGCCAAGTGTTACAAATCATAAAATGAAGTGTGCTTGCTAGTGTTTTTGCCTGAATTTTCAAAACTGATGCTGCGTCCTCCTGTTAATACAACACGAAAACGACTACGAAGACGAGCACGAAGACGACTCTGACTATCATTGACTACGACCACCACCATGAGTACCGGTCTGACCGCGACTGCGACTACGACTACCACCACTGGTACTGCTGCCAAGCCTTACATCCTAAGCCCTGGACCTTAAACCCTACTGTAGGGCCTAAGCCAGAAGTACTGAACCTTCTTTCCTAAACCCTAAACCTTAAATCGTCAGCCGAGGTTGAGCCCTATAAACCGTAACTACTGAGCCTTGGCCCAAACCCTGAACCTTAAACCCGACCTGTAGTCTCCATTGTAGTTCCTTTTTTTGGTTTAACCAATTAAACATTAAGGATCCCATAAGGTAACCCCAAAAAGAAACCCCAAAAAGAATTACAATTCGGAGACTATAGGTATAGGAGGGTAGTGGCCCCAAAAAAGAACTACAATGGAGACCATAGGGAGACCTTAAACCCGACGGCCTCCACAGCGTCGAAGGCCGTGGAGTCTCAATTCGCTTCCCTCACCCAGCAGCGCAGCGAGTTGCAGGTGTGGATTGCTGAAAGGGTTTGGGTTTAGGGGTTCGGGTTTAGGGTGTTTTTTCTTCTTGGGATTAGGGTTTCTGGGGTTTGGAATTAATTTTCGGGTTTAGAGCTGACCGTCCACTTTATTGTGCACAACGCTTTCTTGGTGTCTTGCATGAACTCGTAGAGCTGTTTCGTGGCTTGATCCCCTGTATTTTATGGTGCTTTGTCTGTGTTATATGATGGGGCTTTGTCATGCTTTTCCAATCGGTCCTTTCTAGGATTCTAGTTTTCGATTGCTCGCCTTTCCAGAGGAACCGACGACGACCGGCTTAAATGCTTGCGTTGCAATGATACGAGTCCTGAATTTCTTTCTTTGTAGTCCTCCGAAAGTTTCAGCGTTTTGCAAACTGCATTCTGGGATTCTGGGACGCTTACTTGTGGCTCAAGTCGAGTTGTAAGTCTTTTCCAGCGCAAGTTCCTGAAACCCAAACCTCCAAGTGGTCCAACATACCCCGTGTGTGCGTGTGCGTGTGTTTACGGATGTCGTTTCAGAACTGCAGCAATATAGTTTCCAAAGAGAGAGTGCTCATGCAGAAGTCCTCACCAGTCACTAGGCGTTGCTTTACTTCGCGACGCGACAGGACTGTTTAGGGCTTACGGCCTTAGGGAAACTGAATGCCTACTAAGAACTCTAAACCCCCTTATAGTAACCCTTACAGGAACCCTTAAAGGAACCCATGGTTTAGGGCTTCGGCGATTAAGGGTTTAAGGTCAGATGTTCTTTTCTTGTCTAGGGATCAAGGAGGTTCCATGAAGGCTCCGGGGCTTTTTGAGCGAGCTTCCAAGTGAAGTCAGGTGCACGGTATCCCCAAATTCTGGTACATACTGTTGATGGACAAAATCCTGCAGTACTCTTTATAAGGAATATACCATAGTTCCCACAGTTTAGAGTCCTTAGGGTCATGCAGGATTTCGTCCATCAACAGTATGACCCAACTGGTAGCAAGAGCTTCAGGGTCGGTTTAGGGTTTGGGGTGTGCTTCTTCTTATCGCTCCCCCCTGCCAGAGTCGAAGGCAACTGACTGCGAAATCAGAGGGGAGGCCGAGCCTGAGCAGGCTACGCACTTAGCTAAGCTAATTAATGAAACTCGTTCTCAGCCTTCCCCAATATGAGCTGCCCTAAACCCTAAACCCCTAAACCCTAAACCCCCAAGCCCCTAAAACCTACGAACCCATTCTAAATGGTAGGGCCTTTGTATCAGAATCATTAGAAGGTGCACGTCGACATGTGGACTTTGAACCTCTTTTGGGTTTCAGCGGAAAGGGTGCTGAGCCCCCGCATCGTAAAGTCTAGGCAAATCTTCTCTGATGATTCGGAAGGTATCCCATAAGTCCCAATAACTGCACAAGTGAGCATTCGTGACAGGCTTCTGTCGCGAGGAACCGCGAAGAGGCCGCGAGCTGCACAGTGCAGAGAGGTTCCAGTAGGGTTTAGGTTTGCGGTTGTGTCAACGTTCGAGGGCTCCGTCTAACAGCGTGAAGGGTTTAAGTCCTGGATAGAAGATTGAATCTTACCCAAAAAGATTATTCCTTGGGTTCCCAGTCTCACCTGTACCCAATATACCCCCCAAACCCTATTCAAACTACTAAGTCCCTTATACTTAAACGTACAAGGCCCCATTGAAGCCCTTCAAGAAGCCCTAACTAACTGGAACCCTAAACCTTTAACCCTAAACCTAACTAACTAGAACCCTTTGGGACCTGTGGGTTAAAGTGCCGTTTCTTACTTCCAGAAGCCCAAGGGGACCGAAAGGAACGGAGATCCCAGGTGTGGAAGCTTACTTATCGTATTGGATGTTGTTATATTATACGATGATGTTATATCACATTACTACATGACACTATATAGAAGAATACTTGTATCACGTTAGATATTAGGGCTCAGGGCTGCGGGTTTAGTGTTGACGGTTTATCTTTTCGAGCTCGGCGCTTCGGACTGAGGATTTTGAGTTAAGAGGGTGTGCGGAATCCTCGTCAGCACACACGACTTGTCTCCGGTATTTATATGTGGGTTGAACAAGATTATGGGCCCTTTGGGGGTCTGTACTATGGTATATTCCTCATGCTAATACCGTGTGCGCGTGTCTTGAGTTATGTGCTGTTTGTGTTCCTCCCCAGGCTAAGCCAAAATAGTCGTTTATGTCCGTAGGGAAGCGCACATACCCAGAAACCTTATACCCTACACACCCTACATCCCGACCTCCTACAGCACTCCGTTTAGAACACGTATAGTACCCTCCACCAGCTTCCAGGAGAGTCGCGCGGAGGAAGCCTTGGCCAGTGCTCAGAGCCCTGGAAGGTGCGGGAGCGGTGTAGGGCTTTCCGGTTTTGGGCTTTGGGGATCATTAGTTGGAGTTTGGGGCGCTGAGGCTTGCGCCGGGCTTTGGGGTTGTCTGATTGCTCGCTCTGACATATGTACTGCAACCATAGTTCTACCACTACTGATACTACGACGACGACTACTGCTACCACTACTACTACTACTACTACTACTACTACTACTACTACTACTACTACTACTACTACGACTACGATGACGACGACGACGACAATTACTGCTACGACTACGGCTACAATAACGACGACGTCGTCGACGACGACTACGACGCCGGCTACGACTACGACTAAGGCGAGTACGATTACGGCGACGACGACTACTACTATGCCTGCTACTACTACTGCTACCTGCCTGCTACTTGCTACTTGCTACTTGCTACTTGCCACCTGCTCCTGCTACTGCTACTGCTACTGCTACTGCTACTACTACTACTACTACTACTACTACTACTACCACTACTACCACTGGCAGGGTCTCAATGCATGTAAGCGGTATCGACGCTGCAGCTTGGTTGCAGCTCCCTGGCCAGATTCCCCGATCTGTTTTGGGCTGCGGGTATTGCACCAGGCTGCAAGAAGAGCTGCTTCAGGAGCAGGCCAACTGGTTATGGGTTTCGTGTTTAGGGGTTCAGGGTGTTGATCCCAAGGTAAAGCATCTGATGGTGAGAGTTTGATAACGCCTTTTCAAGGCACTTGGTGTGAGAGGCACTAGCACGACCCCAAACCCAAAAACGTAAAGCCTGAACCCTAAGCCCTGAGCCCCATAGCAGGAGCCTGAACCGGGCCCAGGATGTTCAACACACTGCAAACATTCGCCACGGGGCCAGCGAGCCTGAAGCTTTGGAAGCTCCCTTCCTGTAGCACTCGGGGCCCGCATCTTTTACCCGCCCTCGATGCAGCTGTATCGGTGCTTCTCTAAATGAGGTTCCTTTTTGGACCCGAAGTTGAAGAGCTTCTGCAACTTTCGCGGGGGTCTATAAGGATTAAGGTCTTGCCTTTTGGGGGGGGCGGCTGTTAGGCTTCAGGTTTCAGGATGCTACGGCTGTGGGGCTAGGGATTCTAGGAAGTCAGAAATCAGAAAACGGTGCGGGAGGTTGCAATCCTTGTCAGGGCTGGAGGGCTTGAAATGTACTTGTAGTCTCCATTGTACTTTGTTTTGGGTTCTACCTAATAGGACCTAATAGGATTCTAAGTATACAAAACGGTTACACACAAAAAGGGAACCATACGGGGCCCACTCTAAGGGCGCTTCTATACGTGAACCGCTCTACTAACCCCTAACCTTAAGCCTCTAACCCTACACCCCAAGCTTCAAGATCCAAGCCTTAAACCCCAAACCTTGAACCCCAACCTTAAATCCCAAAGCTTAAGCCCCAAACCTTGCTCTCCAAACCTTAAATCCCAAAGCTTAAACCCCAAACCTTAAATCCCAAACCTTACATCCCACAGCTTGAGCCCCAAACCTTGAATCCCAAACCTTAAATGCTAAAGCTTAAACCCCAAACCCTAAGCCCCAAATTTTAAATCCCAAAGCTTAAATCCCAAACCCTGAACCCCAAGCCCTGCTCCGCTAGGCCCCAACCCTGCCGTGGATCACGCTCTGCTAGGCCCGGATGGAAGCCCTCCAAGCTGAGTTCCACGATGCCGACCAACAGATGGACATAGGGTTTCTAAACGGTATGCACTTCGGTAATATAGGGTTTTGATATGGCTATATAGGGTTTATATGATAAGTTTATATGGGTGTATATAGGGTTCGTATGTCGGGTTGATATAGGGTTTACCTTGCTTCAGGCTCCAGGGTTTAGGCGTGTAATGCAGGTCTAGGAGTTCCAGGATTTGGGGCTTAGGTTTACTAGGACCCAGAGTAGGCCCTTATTCCCTTTTTAGGGTTTAGATTCCCTTATAAACCCCCTTTAAGCCAAAAAGGGCACCCTTTTTATTCATAGGTTACTCTTAGGTCTAGTTACTAGTTTAAGTTTCCCAAGCCCTAAACCTGGGATTTAGGATCTACCGGCAGTTGAAATAGATTCAGCAAGATGTCTCGGCGTCCAGTTTGAAGGGTGAACATACTCCGTTTTGCCGGATTTGGGCGCTGGCACTGCTTCCTAAACCCTAACCCAACCCCTAAACCCTGCGGCGAGGACCTGCTGAGCAGTGCACTGCAGGAGCTGCAGGAAGAGGTGCCAGAGAGCCTTTTAAGGTTGCATGGTGGGGGTTTCAGAAAACAGGGATACCTGATTTACGGTATGTTTGTAAGGTTCCTAATTAGGGGCTATATGAAGGTCCCTTTTACTGTGAAACGGCCATGTAGCAGCTCGATACGGTGATATGGTCGCTCCCTTATGACCTTTGTATTTGCCTCGTGCGATCTGTTTCGGGACCCATTTGTTCTTGCGGCTTGAGAATGTAGGAGTCGAAATATGTATACAGTGGCACTGAGATCCACTGATAGTCCGTATATGACTTTAGTTTAATGAACCCCAAACCCTGTTACCTTGTCCTATCCTGTTCTCGCGATAAAAGCTCTCCATTAGCTTAGTTGATATATATATAGGGCTTAGAGTGTAGGGTTTATTTATAGGGTTTCGAGCCGAAGGCTCGTGGGGCATGAGGAGTATCCGAAGCTTGACGCACGGATTCAAGAGGGGAGAGAGTTTAGGTTTTGGGGTTCCTACTTCTTGAAGCTGTCTTCAAGTGGGGTTCTTGGCAGATTGCTGCTATAGGGGCCTTAATAATAGCCTACACAATTTTGGGGGTTCGTTATTATAATTACAGTATAATGGGTCCCAAAGCAATCTTCTAATATGTGACTTTGGGATGTTGTTTCCACGTTCGGTTGTCTTCTCTGTCAAGTCTTCAGTCCTAATATCGGGGCCTTAATAGTTAGAATAGGGTTTGGGGTATATTGTAATAGTGATAAGAAGGAACCCCCAAAACCCTATTCTAATTATAGAGGCCCCTATATTAAGCCCATTTCGGACCCCGGTGAAGTTCTGATGGAACCCTGGTTTATAATATTGTGTAAAATAATATAATAGAACAGATTACTTGCAATACAACATGCAGCACCACCTATAGTCTCCATTGTAGTCTTCTTTGGGCATACCTTATGGGATCCTTAATATATAATTGGTTAAACCCCAAAAAGGAACTGCAATGGAGACACACAGATCCCCTAAACCCTAAACTCTACACCCTAAACCGAATCAAGTACATCCAGTCCAGGGATGGCACCATGCGGTCGGCCTACAAACACGCCAATGGGAAGATATGGGAGTTTCCGAATATAGGAGACCCTAATGCTTTACCCTGAATAGTAGGATCCTTATGTTCAGGACCCCAAGATAAGGTGCCCCCTAATTTTCGGAAACTCTCATATGCTGCGCGATCGCATGTTAGATCGGGAGCTGCGAATACAGCGGACCGCAATGTGGGAAACAGCTCAAGACACCGTGGGAAGACGACATCCACGACGTGCACCGCTGTAGCAAATGCAAACAGGCGGGGGAAGTAAGCAGCGCTTTGTACAGCTCAGCACAGCTCCCCGCTGGTGGCACCATATCAGCACTGCACCTATGCTATCATTAATACAGTTCACTATGCTTGCTGATTTCAGATATGACAGGAGTCCTGAGCCAGTACTGGGCTCGTGTCACGGCCAACGAGAGTAGCCTGCATTGTCTTAAGCATCTGGAAGCATGGAAAAAACGACGCTTGCAAGCCTACTTACAAGGGTACACACCCACCATGAGAGTGTGTGTGTATGTCTGTGTCTGTGTGTGGGTTTTCATGTATAGCAGCTGTCCAACTACCCATTTATCCGTTTCTGGACGTATCCTCCTCGTCTGCAACCCGCAGCTGCCGTGCAATTAAGAGGAGTTCGATGTTGCCGATGCGCACAAACTACAATGTCGACCCTGATGAAGGAGGTGCCCCAAGAAATTGTGGATCCTGCTAGAATTATCACTGGAGCTGCTCCTAATTACCCAGCCAGCGGTCCAATTACATGATTCACGATGTCTTGCATGTCCGTTTCATGCACCTCGTGCCCCCAAAGCGCTGTAAACCCGAGTCGGAATCGTAAACCGAACAAGCCCTGAGCCTTCAAACGCTATATCCACCGACCCGTAAATCGAACCCAGAGCAACGAGAGCAACAGAATCTATATTACGAGCCCCCAAAAGAGGCACAGGTTGTTTGATCAGCTTTCGGCACTGTAGGCCCTAACCCTAAAGGCCTAACACCCTAAATCCCACGAGCTCAAACCCTAAATCCGAAGACTTTAAAGCCATAAATCCCTAAAGCCCTAAACCCTATAAGTCCCCCTTAAGCCCTGTACCCTAAACCCTAGAACAGTCACTGAGTGCTTGAAGCCAGGCCACTACTCGCGACACCGCCCGAGCCAAGCGTCAGAGCGATTGGCGCAAGGCTGAGGCTCAGGTGCGGAGGGTCGCGGCTAAGGTAAGGCCGTATAAGGGTTCTAGAAATGTACTCAGTTATAGGGGTATACGGGTACAAGGTGTTTTATGATTACTGGGTTCCCCTACCTTATTGGTTGACTCAACAACTCAGCCCAAGCTGTCAAAAATTACAATGAGAGCCTGGATCCTGCAGCACGCGAAAGCCCAAGATTTCTCAAACCTTAAGCCCATAAGCCCAAGGCTCGAAAGAAGTTCTACTACGTTAAACCTGGAAATCGTAAACCACTGAACCCATCAGCCCCAAGCCGACTCTTGCCGGGTCTCCTAAGTTTTTAGGGTCCTGGATCTATTACAAAATCTCTACATAATCCTGTTTAGGTAACTAGAGGCTTAGGGCACCGTAAACTTAAGCCGTGTGAACAGGTGCTTGGGCGTCTGGCAGATGCCAGCTCTCAGGCGTGCTGCACAGGGCACCCATGTCTCAAAAAGTTGGGTTTTGGAGGGTTTAGGGTTTCAATTAGGGCTTAGGGTTTAAGGGTTTAGGGTTTTGGGTTTGGGGTGTAAGGTTTCGGGGTTTAGGATGTAAGGTTCAGGCGTTAACAGTTCACATATAACTATGCATAGTGTATTGTAGCATATTTGGGGCATAGCACGGTAAGTCGTAGACTTGTATGCACGTTTGCTGTAAACCGCAGCACAGCAATGGTCATACTACCGAAAATGCAGGGTTGAGGGTTCAGGGTCGGTGTGTCTTTTGCGCATGGGATGCGTTGTTGGAGAGCACTGGTGTTCCGGATATAGTAGAGTATACGGCATTCGAAGTCAAGCTCGAAAAGGTCTTTGTTGTCTTTTCTTGTCGATGGTTTTTTAACGAGTATGCTATCGTAGGCTAGAGCCCTTACTAAATCTTTGCTTGCAGTAGGTAGTCTTCAACATCCCTTCTGTTGTGGCGTTGCTCCGAGCTCATACAGAAGCGTGGGCAAGTCCTAAAACCATGAGAGGGCAACGGGCTGTAGGGTTCATTTAGCGACACTCTCGTGCTGATGGCCGGGGATGAATGTAGGATTACGAGGGTGCTGTTGGCAGAGACACTGTTGATATTGGAGCTTGGCCAGTTGCTACTTTCGTTTGTCGCCGTCGTGCAGATAGCATATTAGCACATCTCCTACGGTCTTTGTCTAGTATCAGCAGTTTTGGCCCCAAAGCGATGCTACCAGTTGTTCCCCAGTGAAGTTGGCCCTTACAATTCCTGCCACATCTTGCATGCCACGCCCACCAATGACTTTATTCTGTTTTCCCTTTTGATACCGGCTGTTGCTTTCTCCATCGCACAGCTCCTAGAATAACCTAGCCCTCAACTGCAGTTCGCGATTCAAAGCTACAACTGCAGCCATTTTGGTTCAACTCGGGTCACAGGCGACACCCCTTGCCCAGACCCGCCTGTCTACATGTAGGGACTCGACCAGACAACGAGTATACACGAGTCACTCTATCGCAGGGGGTTCCTGCCATAATGCGCCCCTATAACAGAATCAGCCATGTTGGGAACGGCAACGCAATGTGCGAGTTGCAACTAATATCTAGCAACATGTTATGCTGTTCTAAATCGTGCTACAATATGCACCAGAACTTTATTCTATACTATATAGAATATACACCCCCTATGCTGATCATTCAGCCCCCTTTCCCCATGTACTTTCTCGCTCTGCTTGCTTGCCTATCTCTGACCTCAGCTTCTGGTTTGGAAGAAGCCGTCAGCTTTGAGGACTCTGGGTTGCTCTTAAGGTACCTAGGGTTTAAGTTTTAGAGTTTAGGGTTTAGGTCTAAGCCACAACCCTAAGCCCTAAATCCTAAACCCTAAAGCCTGAACCTTAAACTCTAAGCCCTAAATCCTAAACCCTAAACCCGGCAACCCAGGATTCCAGTTGCCAGCATGGGGTATCATTGTTGCAGCAGGGCTCTCGCAAAGTTGCCGCTTGACTGGGTTTGCCCCGGCTCTTTCAGGCCCCCAGTATACCCTAAAGCCCCCTAGTAGTTCCTTTTTGGGGTTCATATATAGAATCCTATAAGGTAAGCCCAAAAAGGAACTACGATGGGGCCTTAGGGTAACCCCTCAAACACCCCGATACGGTGGGTTTGAGACATAGGAGCAGCCCAGTATGCTGCATCACCCCGCCACCCAAAAGCTAGTATGTCTTGCTTGCAACAGGCATCCCAACATGGGTCCACGGCTTTGAAGATACCATGTCACGGTACCTACGTGTATGTATAAATAATATGTTTATACATATATGTACATATTCATGCCTTTTTATATTATAACGAATTGTATTTATATATATATATATATATATATACATACATACATATGTACATACTGTAGATGCTTCTTCAATCCAGCCGCTAAGGTTGCCTCGTCGATAAGTTGGGAAGGCGAGGTCAACCAGGTCGCGCTGGACCATGGAGTTCTCTTCAACCCGGGCACGTCTCGAGACTGGATGCAGAGTTGCTGGATGTTCGAATGGTCATTTTTTTCCTGTATGCTATTGTTGTGTTTTGATCTTCCAGTGGCCCAGTTGTTGTTTTGTTGATTTTTGTGTGTTTCTTTCTTCCCGTGTCTTCGAGGTTCCCAGGTTTTGCGAAAAGCCTGTTACCTTTCAGTCAAGATTCACAGGTAGGCTCCGTATTCTGATTCTACCGGGGGATGCCAGGTTTCGAAAGCGTCGATGTCAATGGTCGCTACTGTTCCCTTTGCAGCATGCCCCCGAAAGAGCGTGCGCCCAACAAGTCCTACCTGCAGCGCAGCGACTGCGGCAACAGCAGCTACTGGGAACACCCTGAGAATGGCAAGCTGCCCCTGAGCACCTTCATGAAAGAGGCCACAGAAGAGCACAATGTGACAAATGGTTGGTGTGAGCTCAACTTTGAAAAGGGCTGCGCTGATGCTGTCTACAACCGGGACTACATGTTTTTTGCCAAAAGCGTGGTATGGCCTAACAGCTCAGTAGCCTCTTATGACCAGCACTTCTGCTACTACAACGGTTGGCTGTCCCCTGAGATCAGGGCGTTGCAGCACGACTACGAGGGCCTGTCTCTAGGTTGCACTGTAAGAATGGGTAGTATTATTAGGGAGACCCCTTAAAGGGTACCCCTTCTGAACCCGACTTCTGGCTCTCCTAAAGGGGTCCTATTGAGAGGGTCTATGTCCCCAAGGGTCCCCCTAATCCTAACTCCCAAAGAAAAGTTCGAAGTGAGTTGATAGCCATAAGAACTTGCAAAGACCTATACAAACTTCCTTACACACCCCGGCCCTAAGCCCTGAACCCTAAATACCTAAGCCCTTGACCTTGTTGGTTTTTGAACTCCGCAACTGCGACCCAGGACTGCCAAAGCCACTGAGTTCTGCAACTCAGATCATCTTATCAGGCTCGGGTCAAAAGGCAGCCGGGTCGTTGTTAAAAAGTGGCATTTTCGTGCTTCTTGTTGCAGGATCCGTGAAGCAGCAACAATCAGGTTCAGATTTTGGAGAGGTCCCACCAAGAGTCAGGTAACATCACCTTGAACGAGATGATGGCACGATTTCAAGCAGCGAAGCCTGGCAGTGCTGGCAGCCGACCGTCCATGGATGATGCACATTTCATTGCCGCATGGGCGTGTGCCACTGGGTTCGTGTTAAGTTACGATGGCATAATCAGGTAACGCTGCTTATTATTTACTGTAGATCCCGACTATACCCTCAAGCCTAGACTACGACATGGTAACTTTTATTAAGCTTATAGGGCTTATGGTTCCTGACAAGAACCCAGGCCATGGGCGGCCCGGCCTGTGATATGGCCTACTGTGCGTACACCTTCTGCGTGAAAGAAGACGGTAGCCTCGGCATCTATGATGACTGCCCGGGGTGGGACCCTGTCAGAGGGATGCCAATAGATTAAAAGTGCAGTCCTGGAGGGACAGTGTGACGAGGTGGTTCAGTGGTTTGTTACTTGTTGGCAACAGCAACTTTTGCAGTAACGTGGAACGTAGCAATGTCACCAGGATTGTCACAGTGAGCTTGGCCAGCATCACTCGGCCAACGAATGTGCCTTCCAGAAAGCCGGGAAATATTTCAGACGGGCGTGCTGCCTTGGCAAAAGGTTGGCGCATGCAATGTTGGACCGGAAACCGTTCGTTTTTCAAAGGTTGAGGGCTGCGGGTTACAGTCTTTGGCATGCAGAGGGTGTTACACATGTATTCGTCTGTTCGGGGTTCGTACGGGTTTAGTGATGTCCATCTCATCTTCCAGTTTGGTTGATTCCATGCAGTAGCTAATTACTATCATTTGCTAGTCTGCATGGTGTTGCAATTATTCCTCTCATGCTTGGCTTTAACCCTAAGCCCTAAATGGTGATTAGGTGCCGGGGCGCCGAATATGCCTGTCACCAGGGTTTTTCATCCGATCATCCGAAGGCGACTTGAACACCCTAAACCCTAAACTCGAAACCCTCAAACCTACAAACCTAAAACCCTAAACTCAAACCCTAAACTCGAAACCCCAAACCATAGAAACCCTAAGCCCCGCACTCAAACCCTGAACCCCCAAAAACTCGAACCTTAAACCCTATAAGCCCCCCAAAAATATCAAACCTAAACCCTATAAGCCGCAAAAAAAATCAATACCCTAAACTCTATAAACCTAAAACCCTAAACTCAAACCCTAAATCCTAAACTCGAAACCCAATTCAGGATATATGCGCTCGTTATGAGGATCATGACTTCAGGGATGACCACGTCTTCTGGTCCCAGTTTAGGGTTTAGATAGTTTAGATTAGAAGGGGCCCCACTCTGTAATAGTGACTATAAGGATTATATAAGGGCCCTACTATATTCCTGTTATACCACTATTACAGGGTGGGGGAAACCCCTTCTAAGGTTTAGAGTTTAGGGTCTATATGGGAGTTTCCGAAAATAGGGGACCCTAATATAGTACCCTAAATAGTAGGATCCCTACTATAAGGACCCCATAGTAAGGTACCCCTAATTTTCGGAAACTCCCATATAGGGATTGTCTGGAGGCTTCCCGATACACAGACCCCGGCCTGGTCGTGTTGCAACCCCAGAGACTCCAATATCCCTTAATTAAGAAATATTCCTTGAATGATTTTAGGCATCTACTATCCCTTAGTTAAGGAATATTCCTTAAACTATAGTAGGATCCCTAAAATCATTTAAGGAATATTTCTCACTTAAGGGATAATGGAGTCTCTGGGACAGGAGGAAGCCGCTCAAGAAATGGCCGGTGCGCTGATGGAGGCTTCGCCGACTTCTGCCGGGACCTAGTGTAACCCTAAACCCTAAACCCTAAACCCTGCCTAGTGTAAGGTTATGGGCCTGTAGCCTTCTAAACGTATTATCACTGCTCCCTAGCGTTCCAAAATCCAGCCTAAGCAGTACTGTCTAACGCCCACAGCCTTGAATCGCAGTAACCCGAAAACTCTAAAGCCTTTATCCCTAGGCCATACACCAAAGGCTTTAGTTTCAAGATTCGCTTCAACCTTCACCTATCCGACGGTGTTTGTTGGGTGACGGGGAATTTGGTTTCTTCAGGCTACAGCTCAAAGAGAAAAGCTAACTAGCGTCAGGGCAGAATTTAGGGGCCGGAATGATGGGCAAGAGTGCCCTTTTCCTCGTCTTACCTTTGGTTAGTAGGGAACTGAAGAATGGTAGTAATAGTAGATATAATTGTACCCAATTCCCCCATTCCTTACTAACCAAAGGTAAGTCGTCCCTCATAGTTTTAGTCATCCGGCAATGTGCCCCCCCAAGCCCTTTACTCGATCTGGGACTTCGCCTTTGGTTCACCCTGCTGGAAGGATGTATGACCACCTCCCTCCCGTATGCCTGTCCTGGCTTTCAGCCCCCTTAGAAATCCCAAACCTCGAACCGTAGATCTTTAGTCTACCATAATGGCCTAGTCACTAGTCTCAAACCTGCAAGTCTCAAGCCCGGAGCATACCTAACCGTTGATATTGGAGGAGCTGAGGAGCCAGGGGTGATGATAATCCCTACTTAATAAGCAGCCAAATAGCCAAGGGAACCCCAAAACCATTGGTTAGATTCCTTTCCGGTCTGGCCTGCTACTCTCCCTTTCTGGTACTTTGCCTACGCGGCAGGGGCCAGGCTGGGTCTGTTGATGTACACTTAGGGGTACTTAGAAATGATCCTTAATTTTTGGTTGTTATAATCCCTAAGAAACTGCTAAAATTTGATTTTTGCTAAGTTCAGTATAGTACAATGGTTAAAAAAACATAGTTCTGCATCCAACAACTGCCCCACGCCCTCACAACTCAACCCCTAAACCCAAACCGCCATGACAAATCCCACCCCCCCAATTGCCTAAATGACGAAGCGCCCATGCAATCTCCTAGAAGGTAGATCCTTCCCTGAAAATCTTTTTCAGTGGTGCAGGACTGGTGTAGATTATTTTGGGAATGAAAGTGAACATCTCCAAGTAGTTTTGGGGCTCCTACTTTCAAAGCCCACCTTCTAAACCTTCAAACATATGATCAACGAACTCTCGCTTGCTAAGCCAGCGACCAAAAAGTGCAGGAGCTGGACACACTGAACCAGGACACCAAAATCTAGCGGATTGGGGGTTTGTGCAGGACTCAGGATTAGTAGCAACCAGCGATGTACCGCCTTCGGTTTAAGATGCAAGGTTGAGGGTTAGATATTGAGGCATAGGTGTAGGGTGTAGGTTTGAGGATGATGGAATTGAGTGTTTTGGGTGTGGGTTTGAGTACCCAGGCTGACGATTAGGGCTGAGAGTTCATGATGAATGGTTGTTTGAATGCAGGGTTGAGGCTGTTTGCTTGCTCCGCCCTTGGTCTCATCAACGAAGGCTTGGCTGTTTGACGCTGAACAGCCTAAACACCTTTTTAAACACGAAGAAACCTTATCAGACCTGCAAAGCACACTGACCTTCAGAAACTGGCGGCTTTCATCACCAATCTTGTTGGGCGTGTTTCTCGGGCTAGCTCTTTCTCGCTTATAGCGCCTCGATCGGATCTGGATGTCGGGTTGAGGGTTCGCGATTTAGGTTGTAGGGCTCGGAATAGGGTTTTGCCCCTCGCCCCCCCCCCTCCAACTCTCAACACCTTAAACACCCTAAACCTCAAAACCTCAAACCTTTAAACCCTACCCTCCCCCACCCTCCCCCCCTAAACCCTAAACCCTAAACCCTAAAGCCTCCTCCCCCACTATCCGACCCTTCTCCAGTTTTTGTTTTAGGTCCGTGCCCCGGTAGGAGTCGTCGCAGTTCGACGAAGACTTCCTCTGGCTCGAAGGTCGAGTCGATGAGGTACCTGGGCTTAAGGGAGTTTAGGGCTTAGGGTTCCGTTAAAGGGCACCACAGGGCTTCCTTTAAGGGATCTATAGGGCTTAGGGAGTTTGGGGCTTCAGAGGTTTAGGGGTTTAGGGTTTTGAGGGGTTGAGGGGTTTAGGGGTTTAGGTTTTATGAAGGGGTTTCGGGTTTAGGACGTTAAGGTTTAGGGTTCCGGGCTTTAGGGCTTTAGGGTTTAGGTTGTCGGAGTAGATGACCTCGGTCTGTGTAAGATAGGGGCCTTGGTAATCCAAGTAGGTGTCCCTTAAAGGGTTCCTTTCAGGATTCTATACTGGGCTTAAAGGGTTTTAGCACAGGGGTTTTCATAGTTACAATAGGTGTGTATGTATTAGTCATATAGTAGTAATTTCGGACGCTGGGTAATCTTGGATTTCTCCTGACCCTAGGTTTCGCTAAGACATGAAGTCTTACCACTGTTGGCCCTGAAGCACGAAACCTCACTCGGCCTTAAGTATCACATGCCGCTTGGATATCTCAGGGTTGACAGCTAACCCAAAAGGTCCCTACATAGTAGACTGTAGAGTTTCTCTTATTGGAATTACTATTATGGTTTGGGCAAGTATGCCCCCATATAGTCACTTAGGACCCTGTGGGGAATAAAAGGGTCCAAATCACTTATCGATTAGGGTAAGAAAGGCGATGCGTTCAGTACTTTCGCAGCCTCTACATTGGGAAAGATTTTGCCTGAGACGTTGTGGTCTGCGTCTACTTGGGGATTCCTGGTCGGTTAAAACCACAGAAATAGCTGCGAGTGTTGCACTACAACTTACTGCACAATTTGTACTGGGTACCGACGCTTGCAGTACACGGGATTCGTACGGCAGTGCGTGCAAGCCACAAACACAGAACCGACACTACTGCACTTTGAGACTCCATGTGTAGAAGCGAAGATCTTTTTAGCCCCTTTAGCTTTCCGAAGCCGAAATGTTGTCCACTGGCTGGTCGGGACCGGCAGCATAATCCAGACAATCCCCTAAGAGTCCATGTACCCAAATAGTATATACTTTGGCCTCAAAGTGCTCCCTATATAGATACATTGGGCCCAAAGTATATACTATTTGGGTACGTGGACCCTTAGGGATCGTTGTGGACACCAAGCACTCTCAGACATGTTTGTCCGGAGGGCGACGAGGCCATGGCGCCAAACCCTCATCCCCAAAGCCTAAAAACCCTGAACACTAAAACGTGTGGGCTTGTCCAACTCTCCTGGGGCATATGTGCCTTGTAACTGCTGACCTTGGGGCCGGTGCAAAAAGGAGCTCAAAACAGTACCATACTTCGGCCGAGTTTTTTCGATCTGTGGGGGCAATGTGCAGCAGGGGGCATCGAGCCATTGTCAAGTGCGAGCGATCTAGTCGACGTTCTGGAAACCAGAGGAAACGTGGCACAGCCGTTGGAAATGCCCAAGCAAAGGAGTGTCTAAGCAGGCAGGATTCCGGTATTTTCATCTTCGACACCATGTAACTCCGAGTGAGCCCACTTGCACCGGTGGGGACGAATCGGAGGGCGGGCCTTACAGTCAGTGGTTTAGAGCAGATTAAATCTCGAAGTCATCTCAATTCCTCCGATCGTATTGTGGATGTCCTCATGCCAACTTCCTGAGAGGGAGCCCTGATGTTCATTGGGTTGGGGGACCCTGAACACAACCCCGGGACCCCGAAAACTAACCAACCCTATTCCCCTAAACCTGTTCTCTATCTATCTATATATATATATATGTGCACATGCATACATATGCCCTGCTTTTGACGTAGCAGAGGCACGCGAGCAGTGGTCCCTCGCAGATGAAGCAGAGGCAGCATGTTTTGTGCAGGGTTTACGGTGTTGCTTCACTTTGGCTGATTCATGTACAAACTGCTTTCTGAGCATCGTTGATCTTTTGCTGCTAGCAGCATGATCATGAACTATACACACAGCCTCCAAGCGCTGGGGTTCGCGGCTCAAGAGCAAGCTGGATCTTTGCCGGCTATCCACCCAAGCAACACATAACAGTCGTTGGCATCAACAACTCCCTGGCCCACCGTCTGACATATGGGCATGGGAGTTTCCGAAAATCAGGGGAGTACCTTATTGTGTGGTCCTTATAATAAGGATCCTACTCTTTAAGGCACTATCTTACGGTCCCCTGTTTAATTTCGGAAACTCTCACATATCCGTCCCGGCCGGAATCGAGATGATGCAAGGTGGCTCTGCAACTGGATCCCGACTTTCAACCCCACCTAAACCCTACCTATAGTCTCCATGGTAGTTCTTTTTTGGGGGCTACCTTATGGGATCCGTAATATATAATTGGTTAAACCAAAAAAAGGAACTACAATGGAGACTATAGGTAAATCTAGCTTGTCCCAGCAGTGAAGAGGCTGCCGAGCTGGCCGCCGTGGAGACACGCAGCATGCGCAGTGCTGAGGAGGCTCCTGAACTAGGTAGGGCTTTGGGACATTTTATATTTTCCCTTATTGGGCTTAAGAGGATCTTATTTACTAATATTTTTCAAAGGCTTTAAAAGCCCCACCTAGTGATGTTGTTGCAGACCGGCGGTAGTCTAGCAGCAAGTCTGGCACTTCTGCGGTTTTGAGCTTATTCCTTGGCCTCAGAGCCCAGGTCTGAGCACTGAAAGCCAGCGCTGCAAGCGGAACGTGTTCAGGGTTGAAAGGTTCGCAGTCATTGTCTGTCATGGACACTGTGGTGATCCTGAACCCTGAACCACTGTTATCAGGGTCATCCACCCACAACACGGAACTAAAGAGTTGAAACTTAGGTACGGCCCCCTTACAGTAAGAGTCTATAGGGCTACTATTAAGGTCCTAATATATTTATATAAGGAATATTACTGAACTATTACTGAGTGGGGCCCGTACCCAAGTTGAAACGTAGGTTTCGCTAGCTACGTTGTTGAAGGCTGGCTTGGGGCTTGGGCCGTGGATCTGGGCTTCAATTGCATGGTCTCTTCTGTGAGTAACTAGGACCCAGAGTAGGCCCTTATTCCCTTTTTGTTAGGGTTTAGGTTCTCTTATCACCCCCTTTAACCCAAAAGGGCACCCTTTTTATTCCCAGGTTACTCTTAGGCTTAGGTAAGGTTACTGAAGGATTACCCAGAGAGCCCAATACCCCTTAACTAAGGAATATACCTTAAATCATAATATGAAAGCCCCTATAATCTAGGGTATATTCCTTAATTAAGGGGTATTGGGTTCTCTGGGTACTACAAGGCATACTATAGGACACTATGGTTTACTATTCGGGCTCTGTTAGATCCAGGTTGCTTTCAGGAATTAACCCCTGTAGCAGACTCTAGCAACCCGTAAAGCGAACTTGTGGTCGTAGTCTTGTACAAGCCTAAGCCCTCATTTTGGTTCAGTGTCAAGGGCAAACAGTGCAGTATATACATTCCGTCTGAAAGCCTTACAGAGTACATAAAGAACCCTTATGAAACTTGTGTAGAACCCTTATAGAACCTTTCTGGAACCCTTATATTGCAACTCTTTTTGTACTGCACCCTTCTTATCATACGGGGAATAGAACCCAAACCCTACACCCTTTATTAGTACTATTACAACTATTACTATAAGTAATACTACTACTGTTGATATTCTTAGAACCTATATGGTACCTGGCAGATGGAGCACCAGCTCGCCTCCCTGAGTCGGGCCTTGGCTCGTGAGCTGCAGAAGCGCGGAGAGGCTCACGGAGGGGTTGGGGCAAGTTCCCAGAGAGCCCAATACATCTTAATCAAGGAATATGGCAAAACAAATAATATGTGGTTTCATATTATGATTTAAGCTTCAACCCTTAATTAAGGGGTATTGGGCTCTCTGGGTTTACCTGGCCCCTAAGGAACCTTCCTTTTTAGGGCTCCCTAATATGATTTCTTTATATAAGTCCTTAAGAAGGTAGGTTACTTGGGGTTAAGGTGGGGCTTGAGGGTAGTTTGCCGTTTCCTGTTAATGGTTTCGTCTTCTTGGAGTGTTATGATGTGGGCACGTTTAGTAACCCAAGAAGGAACTACAATGGAGACTATAGGTAAATCCCTAAACCCCGAAACCTCGAAGCCTAACTCTGACATTTGGCCAAGCGCTGCCTGACCCTGGTGCAGACCTGATCCGATGCACCTCTAGGCCATACCTACAGTCTCCATTGTAGTATGTGCTTGGCTTGGCACATATTTTTTGGGATCCTAGAAGATAGCCCAATGAGGAGCTACAATAGAGACTGCAAGGAAAGCCGAACCTGCAGGTCAACCGCAAGGTGCAGCTCGAGATCCAGCATGACCAGGAGCTGCTGGAAGGTCGGATCACGGATGGGTTCGGGGCGGGGCCGCGGGGGGTTCGCTAAGCCCTGAAGTGACAAATTGATCAGTTCATATGTTCATATATCACCTGTTGTTATGTTATTGCCCATGGTGCTACATCGGTGCTACATCTTTGCGAAGTTGTGTCTTTGTTGCGGTGGCATGCCGAGGTTCTTGACACCATGCATTAGTTGACCTTCTTGGTCTTGTACTTCTGTTGATGATATAAATCCTGCATTACCTTAATGACCCTAAGCTATGGGAATTATGGTATCTTCCTTATTGTGGGTAATGCAGGATTTATACTCTCAACAGTTAGACACCAAGTTAGCACGTCAACAGCCGAGACTAAACCTCGAAGTGATTCACACTCTAAACCCCAATCCGTAACACTAAACCCAGCCGTTTGATGAGGCGGGCCCAAACTGACTTTCGCGCAGCCCGACCCGGTAGTGTGCTGTGTGTATGTGTGACAGGCCATGTTTCTGACATCGGAACTGCTAGTATCAGTGTTACTACTACCTACACCTTATAGAAGGCCTTATCTTAACCAGGATTTGAGGTTTAGGTAGGGCTTGTAGCAGGGATTCGGGTTTAAGGTTCAAGTATAAGGGTTCACTACAACAACCTGCATCCCGCCACCGACAACTCAGGCTTAGTAGTGTAGTACAGAAGCGGCGGACATGGCAAAACGTACCTTGTGCTAGAACAAGGCATAATAGTGTTCCGCAGAACATGCTGCCACCGAAGCTTTGTTACAAAAGAAGACCGAGATAAACAGAAGAAAGCACATAGCACCGCACGGATCTGCACGGCGGTGCTACATCTGCTACACTACCATAGAGTTCAGCAGTAATATCTCCCCCTCATACGCCCGTCATTATGTTCTACTGATACCCCCAAACTCCCTATCGAAACTTATTCTATCAGGCCACGATGTAAAACCTAGACCATCTAAACCCTAAACCTATGTAGGCTTGATTTAGAAGGGGGAGCCTCCTACCAAAAGCCTGGGACTCGAAGGGAAGCAGGCTTCGAGAAAGGTCTTCGAAAACTGAAACAGCCTTATACCCCCCCCCCCCCACCCAGAGAACCCAATACCCCTCAATTAAGGAATATACGTTAAATTATCGGTGCCTTGCTATTATGATTTAAGGTACATTCCTTAATTAAGGGGTATTGGGATATCTGGGCAACTACCTCCTCAGATACCCTAAATACTCGCTATGAAGGACCATAAGGGCTCCGATACAGGGCCATGGGGGGGTCCGGGTCGATCTTAAGCTTCAGAAATCCCAAACCTAAACAAGCCCTCAAACCAGAAACCCTACATGGGAGTTTCCGCAAATTAGGGGAGTACCTGAGTTTGGGGTCCTTACAATAAGGATCCTACTATTTAGGGTACTATATTAGGGGCCCCTAATGAATCCTGCATTACCCATAGTACGGAATATACCATAGTACCCATAGTTATAGTTTAGGGTCCTTAAGGTAATGCAGGATTTATATCACCAACCGTATGGCAGGGTTTGGGGCTTACGGACCCCAGACCCGGGACAATGCCCCCTGGTACAGGCTACCAGCGAGAAGAGGCGGCCGTGCAGGCTTGGGACCCTCAGTCGACTACCTACAGTAAACCCCAAAAAGTTGGAAACCGGATTAAGGCCAAATAGTGCTGGGATTCCGTATACATTAGCTGAAATTGCTGAGCAGTTTGACGATACTCGGTCTTGCTATCCTGCAATACTGTATTTAATACCCTTGCTGACACTAGGTGAGCTGATGCTGTGTATAGTTTCCAGGCTTGCATGCATGAACCCTTCAATACTTGCATGCATTGCATTGCAGGGCACGGCACTGCACCCCACTGCATGCAGGCATGCATGCGTGCACAGAGCACGCACACACACACACACATACACGCACAAACCGACCACACCTACATGCATACATACGCACGGCGCACATATCGTTCATGCATACCTGCAGACGTACTTACATACATTTGCAGACGTACCGCTCATGCAACCCCCGGCCTGAAATCTAAAGTTCCCAGCTTCCTGTAGCCCCAAGACTCTGGGACCCAACGGGCGCGTAACCCCCGAAACCCTAAACCCTAAAGCCCGAAACCCCAAACCCCTAAACCCTAAAGCCCTAAACCCCTAAACCCTAAACCTTAAACCCCTAAACCCCTAAACCCTAAACCTTAAACCCCTAAACCCCTAAACCCCTAAACCCTGAACGGTAACCACTACACTTTTTTAAAAAAAACTTAAACCCCTAAACCCTAAACCGCTATAGCCCCTAAAGTCCGAGACCCCAAACCCTAACCCCGATCCCCAAGGCCCCAAACCTGAAGTCGCCGTGCGTTGCAGAGGAAGTCTGGAATGCCGAGCGCCAAGGCCTTGCCGAGGCCGGGAGTTTAGGGTTTAGGGTTGGGGGTTTAGGGTTTAGGGAATGACGTGGGATACAACAACATATCAGCATGTCCATGTGCTCACTTACATGCATGCATGTATACATGCGTGGCAAGTTTGTGTTGCTGGTGGCTGCTGCCAACTTCAGGTGGTCAGTCATGGTTGAGATAGTTTGCTTGTCCGCACATAGTCGGCTGTACTTGCACTCCTCCTATTGTCCTGTTGGAGAAAACGCCACGTGCGTTGAAGTCAGAATTGATGCGTCGGAGTGTCACATATCGTCCTGAACCCTAAGCCCCTAGTCCTACATCTCCTCATTGGACCCAAAGCACCCTTGCTGCTTTCTTTCAGTAGAGTCTGAGGGCAAGCAAGCACAATCAATACTCCACTGTATGCTATACGGATCCCAGCAATAATTCATGATTGCCCATTCTTATTGCAATTTCCTGCTAATTGCCCATTTATGATATGCGGCAAGCTACGAGCACCTGCGGTCAATCTAAGCTTGTTACACTCACCACGGCCAGATACGGAGGTTCGGGATAGAGTTACAAACCAGTACACGACTCCTGCTGACCTAGTTGGAATGTGGCACTTGAAAAGTAAACTGCTCTGCGCCTGGGTGGCCAGAGTGTTCCAGCCTCCATGACGAACGAGACAGAATCAGGCCTCTGACGAGCCCTGCTCTCTAAGCGCGAGCTACAAAGGTGCCAAAATCTTCGTCTGATACTGATCGGCATTACATGCTCAAAGCTCTCAACCCCCGAACCCCTAAACCGCCAAATGGCAGCCTCAGAAAATGGGGGCGGGGGGTTCTAATTGCTGGGTTTCCTAATCTAGAAGAGACCTAAATAATGGATTCCTGAGTTGAATTTCTCAAGTAGGCCAGGAACTCTAACAGCCAAAACTGTCAGCGCTTGGTATTTTGGGGTGTAGGATAACCCTATATGATGCCCTGAAGCCTACAACCCTAAAGCCCTAAACCCTCACACTAAACCCTCAGTCAGGAAGCTGCCGCAATGGCTTCTGAGCTTCAAAGGCTTGCTTCGGGCCTCGCATGAGCACAGGATTCGCCAGCACTCTCCCCCCCCCGCTCCAGGATTCAAGGTGTTGGGTCTCAAAAGGTTTAGGGTTTAGGGCTCTATAGAAGCCTGAAGGGTTACCTGCATAATTCGAGCTATTCAGGCTCTTCCTCTATGTGCAACTGAAGCTGCAAACATCGATGAACATGGCCTTTTACATGAAAAACGTCAGCAGGTCACTATTCCGGGGATTGCTGGTGTTGATGGTGCTTGCTTGTGAAAATGTGCATCCCTCACGACGAGCTGGAAACTTGACTCCCAATCCGATGCAGCCTATACACCCTGAGCCCCAACCGCCAGAATAGCACCTCTAACTCCCAGACCCCTTAACCTAAACCCTTAGCCACAAAGCCCGGACAAATCCTGTGCTTCCAACGCGCTTTCGTGCTGCCCGTTGCGAAAAATGATCCCGATCCATGCCCGCCGTCAAAGGGATCCGAAAGACAGTTTGCACATACTCGTCCTTGCAAATTGAGCCTCCAGGTGGATGTTGAGTCGTCGGGCGTATACAGCTTGCGGTTGTAGGATTTGGCTACGGTGTTAGTGCTGCTCACATGACGCTTTGCAGGGCAGTGTCGGTTGCAGTGTCGGAGGGGAGCACCTTTGATTAATTACAGCTAGAACATCTTGGACGTTTGTTAACACGGTGTAGCTGTGGAGGGAGAGTCTTACTAGCGGTTGACCATGCAGCGGGGAGCAGCCTTGTTCACATTCGAAGTAGAAGTTACTTCTACACGACCAAGAAAGCTTTTCATTGTGAGACCGGACACAACTTGCATTTTGGAGCTGTATGAGCGTAGACCGGGAAGCCCCAAAGCCTGAAACTCGAAACCATGGGGTCGCAGGTATCAGAAATCTGAAGTGTCAGTGTATTTTGCATCACCAACAGTATCCTGGTTGTTCAAAGGCGGCAACTTTTTGCCCCCCCGGCATTCCGGCAGCATTTCTGTTAAATTCACGGTACAGCACTCATAAGGTTGTGCAGGCACGTGGGTTCCGTTGGCGTGTTTTCCGGCCCGGATTTCCAGCCAGTCTTTCTGGCAAAGGCTTGCTGGCGGGCGCTGAGGCTAAAGAAGCTTTTGGATTTTTTCCTTCAGGGTATGTTTCGGGTGTTTGCTCGAGCAATGTACTCACCTTTGGTTAGTAGGGAATGCAAGAATGGTAATCATAGTATTTATAATTGTACCCCATTCCTGCATTCCCTACTAACGCTTGAGTCGCCCTATGCTTGCAGTGGAGGTGAAGGGGGTTTTCCATTTGTGCGGTTGAGGGCGAAGTCTTCGGAAGCCCTTTATGACTGAGAAGCTTCTCAAACATCCATCTTGGGCCCTTTTAACGATCTCTTTAAGGAACCCTCTAGATCCCTTTAACGATCCTTTAAGGAACCCTATAGATCCCTTTAAGGAACCTATAAGGTAGCTTGAAATGCACCAAGGCTCGACCTTTCCTGGTGCTGGAACCTCTGCGACGGAGGCACTTTCTGGAAGGAATCTCAAACCAGGGGTTTGCTTGAGGGTTATGTTGAAGAATGCGCCTACCAGGATTCCCCGTTTTGTTTGGTGCTTCGGGGATTAAAGCACTTATCCTGCGACTTAGTAGCCAATACATCAGGTCCTCTTATTTCTTCAGCTGCTTTTCGGTCCCTGTACCCGATAAGCCCCTAAACCCTAAACCCTAAACCCTTGAAAGCTTCCGAGTTCGGGATTTCCACTGTTCACGGCGACTGCGTGGCTATCTTCCGAAGTGTTTTGGAGTGCAAGGCGTAGGCCCGATCGGTTTAGGGTTTAGGGTTTAGGGTTGGAGATTATGGAACAGGTGTTGTTGAGCTGCATCCCTAGCCGAATCTTGCGTTGCGCCACTGTTTGTTGGTGTTCCTATAAGGAAACCTTTCCATTTTCTGATGTACAAACATAACGGGCTGTTAAGTATCATGTTTATCTTGCGGTCAAAGAAACCTTGAGTCAGAGCCTTCAAAACATTCTAATCGTGTTAAGCTCCAAAGGCTTCTTGACCACAAGGTGGCTTTTGAGGCTCTCTGTTGTTGACATAGGGTTTAGGGCTTAGTCGTGTCATCTCTGATGGATCATAAACATATATATATATATATATACGTATAGCGTATATACACATACATAGGTACATGGGCCCTTAGAGAGTAGACGTCATTAGGATGATTTACTGCCGGGCCCAAAGTTGCAAGGAGGATTATTATAACTCCATGGAAGATTTGCGGGAGCCCTAAACCCTAAACCCCTAAACCCTAAACCCCTAAACCCTAAACCTTACTAATAACTCCATTGAAGATTTCTGGGAGCACGTCCAACATGCAGTGCAAGCTTTCTTTCCAGGCCTCTCTAGACCCTAACCCCAAGGGTCCAAAGGACCCAGTAGTCAGGTACTCGGTTTTAGGATAGTAGTTATGTAGGTTAGGATTTTGGCGAGTAATTATATGAAAAGTAGGTACTTGGACCCTTGGGGTAATTACAGTGGACAGAGCATGCCTGTTCAAGGTCATGGCCTCTTCGTTTGCTTGTCATATATGTTGAAGAAGGTAGGTAGGGTCCACGTATGCCCTTGACCGCTGTCCTTGACCAACAAGCACTCCTGCTCTAGACACTAGACTTGCACTTCCCTAACCCTGCCCTAAACCCTCAAAACCCTCGCAGGTCTATGTTCTCTCCTGGATGTTTCGCCAGGCACGGCGTTCCTGACGCCGTATATGCGAGAGGGTTGGGTTTAAGGGTTTAAGATAACCATGGGCTCCATACTAGTTCCTTTTTGGGATTACCTTATCGGATTCTAGATATGACCCCCCAAAAAGGAACTACTATGGAGCCTCTGCGTAACCCCAAGACTCCTTCAGGTTCCGATCTCTGCGTTTTCGAGGCCTGAGCCAACGACGACATAGTTGAAGAGAACTGAGTAACATAGGTGCTTAAATAATTGCTGATACTACTTTTTGTTTTGTTTTTTGGGGGGTCCTTATCATACTTATAGTATCATGGGCCCCAAAACCCTATTCTAACTATGGTTTCATCCGAAACCCGGCCACATCAGCTAAGTCTCTAAGCTTAACTTATAATAACGTTTAACATCATCCCGAACACTTGTAGCCATGACGTGAACCGATGGGTTTTTCGGGCTTGGGGCGAGCATGTTGCGTCACGGCAAAAGCCCGTGGGTTGATCCTTGTACTCTCTGTTAATCATCACCATCATCATCAACAACATCAGCACCCGCACACGTCACCACTACCATCACCATCACCCCACAGGCATTGTGGGTTGTTGAAGGGTTCTGTTTTGTACAGTGTTTATGTGGTGCCTTCGAAAATGATAGTCCGAAAAGAGCACCAAGATCGACCCGTGTTAAGCGTCAAGCATCTTTTCGAGGCATGAACTAGGACCCAGAGTAGGCCCTTATTCCCTTTTTGTTAGGGTTTAGGTTCTCTTATAACCCCCTTTAACCCAAAAAGGGCACCCTTTTTTCTCCTAGGTTACTCTTGGGTCTAGTGAGTGAGCTATCAGAATAGGTGTCGGGCTTTAGTGTAACATGTGCATGTAGGGTCTATACCTAAACCCCAAAAGTATGTGAAATAATGGCCAAATACCTATAAACATGCAATTATTCTACATACTTTTGGGGTCCAGGTAAGGGCATATCTGGTTCATTAGTCATGTATGTTCTGGGTTACAATTTCCGATTGCCCTTCAACCTTCGCTGTACCTGTGGCTCCCATTGCCTGTGTGTGTGGCCTTCCACTCTGGAACTAGTTCATCGGAGCAACCTGGTAATACCCTACGTGTTTGCTTGTTGGTAGGTCCTTGTAGGTTTTCTGGTTACAAACAAACCTCAAGATCTATATCAGCTATGCTGCCATTTAGTTAACCCAAATCACTGTTAAAACTGTTCACGCCCCTGTATAGTACCTTGTTAAGATAGCCCAGCCCACCCTGATGCTTCGTGGTTTGTCCACCTTCGTCCACGTCGCCCTATATCCTGTCGACCACAGCCGATCCCCGAAACCTGGCTTCAGAGTGAGGATGACACATGCTTGGAGGTTCAGTGGTAGTTTTAAGTGGGGTTACAAGTAGGGTAACTATACTTGTAACTCTTATTAGGGGACTTGTAAGCCCATTTATGAATACCCATGAACCTCCAAGTCTCTATTAAATCTCCGAGGGAAAGAGCTTGTAGCATTCGGCGCTTGCAGGGTGCGGCTAGTTGTCCGCGCACGTCGATTGCCTGCCTGCGCCAGCGCCGCTTTCCGTGTCATGCTGCGAGTTTGGAAAATCTCTGGTGATGAAGTGGCAACGCTGTCGGCCCAGGACGCATTGAGCTTGACATCATGTTCATCAAAACCCCAGAAGACTCGCAAGTCTACGGTCTTTGATTGCAACACTGCACCATTTATGGGGTTTGGGGTTTTTATGAGCATCCGAGTCTTCATAGTTCGCGGGGTTTTCGTGCGGTGTGTGGCATCTCAAATGTCGTCTGCCGCTGCATTCGGAGTCGTGGTTTAATTCGTTTCGTGCTTTCGTTGAGACCATGGGTAAGGCGAACGCCCAATATAGGGGCCTTGCTAATTAGAATAGGGTTTTGGGCCCGCTATACTATAAACAGAAGAAGGAACCCCCCAAAATAGTTTCAAAATAGTATAGGTAATTATTCAGGCCCATATCGTAGAATCCTAGCGTCCCGCAACACAACGGCGAACCGACAATGCATGCTTCTCTTAGATCCCCAACACCTTACCTTTAAAACTTGTTGGGTTTTTATAGTTTGGTAGGAATCGAAAAGTTTAACCATTTATTTCTGTGGCTTATTGGGGTAGTAAATTTCTTCAACCGAGATGGCCCATCCTTGCCTGCCGCAGCCGAGGCAATGTTTCGATTGTGAAGCGGTATCTTGCAAGGGCGCACGGGCTGCCAGGACGTGGGCTACTGTAGGGGCCTAAATAATTACCAGTAATAGATTTTTGTGCCGGCTCCTGATTGAAACTATAGTATAATGGGCCCGAAGCTCCTATTTCAATGATTAAGGCCCCTATATGATGCCTTTTTGGTTCGCCATCTACACATTACGCATAGTCTCTATAAGGCAAATTCAAACCATCTTGAGGCCAGTTTAGTTCTTCATGTTCCAGCATTAAGACTTTATCACTCCTACTTGGAGGTTCACGGTAGTTATACGTGGGCTTATAAGTCTTGTAACTATAGTTATAAGCCTAACATTGGACGTACACCCAACTTATAACTGCCCATGAACCTTCAAGTACATTTTGAAACGAATCCTGTCTGTGAGCTAGGATTTTGTCAGAGGCTCCTGCAGAATGGACGGCAGTTGCATGATCACGAGGTGGTCAAAGGTCCCAGTGAGTTGCAGCTGGTCATGGTGCCTTATGGTGTGGTCTCTGCAGAAGAAGAAGTGCAGATGGCTAGTTCCTTGCGCTCGCGGAATTTGCAGCAAGCTGAGGCTATTCTCGGAAAGCCATACGATCTTCAAAGTTCTCGTTTGAAGAACAAACTTCTGTGCGATGCAGCCGAGTCCGGCTGTGCAGACTCTGTCGATCTGCTCTTGTTTGCTGCTCCTCGTCAATGTCTTGACACACCTTTACACAGCGCAGCGGGCCGAGGCCACGTCGATATTGTGCGCCTGCTGTTGCAGGCTCGGGCGGACAAAGACACTGTAATGTCTGGAAAAACTCCGCTTTCAAGGTCAATTCAAGGATGGCGCATGGAAGTGGTTAGCTTGTTACTAGAGGCAGGTGCCAACTTGGAGTACGGCTCCCCGCTTCCTCTGGGTTTGGCTTGTACCATGGGACAGACAAGGACTGTCCGAATGTTGCTCAGAGCAGGTGCTGACAGAGACAACAAAGCTGGAGAGCGGCCGTTTGTATGCACAGCTGCCGCTGCCGGTCAATTCCACATTGAAATTTTGAAATTGCTTCTGAAGGCAAGGTGCAATGCAAACGCCACTGCAGGAGACGACACGCCGCTTTACCTGGCTTCGTTTCGAGGTCATTCAGTCGCGGTAAGACTTTTGTTGGATGCCAGGGCGATTGTTGATACGCCCGTGCATGGGAAGACGCCCCTGGCGGTCGCATCCGGCAAAGGCCACAGCAAGATTGCTCCTCGGCTGGACTACTAACTATATAGGGGCCTTAAGAATAATAATAACCTATACTACTATACTATAATTATGGTATAATCTACCCCTTAGCCCTATTCTAATTATAATAAGGCCCCTATATTACAGTATCTCCTTGAGCCGTTTTAACCTCCTCATTCCGAAACCGTGCAGTTAACCGCAAGGCGAACCGGCGTCGGCCGAGGGTTAAAGCGGTGTCAACAACAGTAACAACACCAGTACGAAACAACAAAATTCACGAAACTCATAAAATTTAAATGTATAAACAGCAACATTAGCACCAATATCATCAATAACAGCAACCACAGCAACAGCAACCACAGCAAACCCCAAGTATAAACATTACCAGTGACAGCAACAACAACACCAACAGCACCACCACCAACAACAACACCACCAACAGCATCAACAGCAACAACAACAGCAGCAGCAGCAGCAGCAACAGCAACAGCACCACCACCAACAGCAACAGCAACAGCCACAGTGACAGCGACAACAACAGCAACAGCAACAACAACAACACCAGCAGCAGCAGCACCAGCAACAACAACAACAACAACAGAATAACAACAGCTGGAACAGCAACATCAGCATCAACAGCAGCGGCAACAGCAACAACATCAACAACACGGGCAACATCCTCACAACAACAGCAGCACCAGCCGCACCAGCAGCAACAGCAACAATAGCAGCAACGAGAACAGCAGCAGCAACAACGACAACACCAGCAGCAGCAACAACAACAGCAACCAAGAAAGCACCAGCAACACCAGCAGCAACAGCCACTTGCTTAGTTTAGTTTAGGGCTTTGGGTTCAGGGTTGCACCCATCGAGCCATTTGGTGATTTGCAAGATGCACTGCTTGAGTTCCTCAGGAGCGTTCAGGTACATTTGAGGTTGAAATTGTTGTCCTACACCGGCCCTCAAATCTGTAATATAGCCAGCCCTCAAATCTGTAATATGTCGCTTGAAAATTCAAAAATCAGGAGCAACTGGAGCAATACAGGAGCCAAGCGAAGTATGGAAACCCTCTTTACCTCGCTAAGCTGAAATTTGCCGGCAGTACCATGTTCTTCATCGTGGAACTGTTCGACAGCATGGCCGTGGTTGATAGCTAGCTACAACATCTCATAATCTTGGCCTCAAACTCCAGGGCTCAGGGTTTAGGCAGGCCTTGTGCAATTTGAGTTTAGAGTATCTGAGCCCCCGAACCGTCACTGTTGATGAAAGCCGAGGTGAACTTGCTCCTCAGTGCGAAAGCAGACAAGGACCGAATTCTACACCCAAACAGGCAAGTTTGTGTGGCCCTGTGGATAGATTGACGGAAGGTCTGGGACAGTTTGTCCGAAAACTTGTGCAGTCGGTTTGATCGGAAACAACTGCTTTAACGGCTTACCTTGCAAAACTTCTGGCGCAAGTTCGCTACCCTGTCCGGACATCAGAGGACAGGAGCTCACCACTGCGCGCGGCTATTCGCAGCGAACGGAAAGAAACTGGGCAACGGGACGGTTCAGGGTAAGTTGGGGTTTTGGGAAGGTTTAAGTTTAAGTAAAGAGTGTCCTAGTCTAAATCCCCAAGTCCAACCGTGAGTTCTTTTGGGAGTCGGTCCGGTGAAACGAGAACTCTGAAGTGACCGAAGCATATGACTTCTCTTCGAGGAGGGCGCTAGGGAAGGAGTCTCAACTCAGTTTAGGGTTTGGACTTGGCACCGTAATTTCAGCCGTAAACTCATTTGAAACCCTAAACCCGAGAACCCCTAAATTGCTTAAACCCTAAACCCGTAAACCCTTAAACCCTAAACCCTAACGCATGACTGGCCTAGAGATTCCTCTCGTGGGGTCGATGTTGATCCAAGAGCTTTGGCCTAGGCGCCAACGTTAACCAGAGCTTCCTGCATTCTTTTGTTACTAGGGTTCGTTTGGAGGAGCCTTTAAAGCCAAGATCTTACTGCTAGGATTATATGAACTCCTTTTTTTCCCTGACTGTCAGCAAAGGAGATCGCACAGTTGTTGCTGAGAGCGCGCGCCAACAAGGATGATGCGGCCACCGGTGAGACGCCTCTGGGCCTGGCGGCTGGAGAAGGGATGACGGCAATGGTGCGGATGCTGTTGCAGGCAAGGGTCGACACCAACAGTTGTGTAGAAGGGGCTGACCCGCCTCTTTGCCAAGCTGTTGCTGCCGGCCATTTAGACATCGTTCGCTTGTTGTTGGAAGCGCGGGCTGACAGCAATAAGGGTTCGCCCCTTTGTACAGCATGTGATGATAGGCAGACGGAGATGACACAGTTGTTGCTGACAGCCGGCGCCAACGCGGATGAAGTGGTCACCGGTGCGATACCTCTGGGAATGGCGGCTGCAGAAGGGTTGGCAGGAAGGGTGTGGATGCTGTTGCAGACAAGGGTCGACGCAAACAGATGTTTAGAAGGGGCTGAGCCGCCCCTTTGCCAAGCTGTTGCTGGTGGCCATTTAGACATCGTGCGCTTGTTGTTGGAGGCGAAGGCTGACAGCAACAAGGGGTCGCCCCTTTGTGCAGCTTGTGATGATGGACATACGGAGATCGCGCAGCTGTTGCTGACGGCCGGTGCTGACGTGGATGCTAGCAACACCGATGGCAGAACGCCACTCTGGCTGGCGAGTAGGTTTGACTGTGAGAACGTTGTGCGCTTGCTGCTGTCGGCCGGCGCAAATCCCAACTGTGTGGTACTTTCGAGTTCGTATAGCCGTCATGTAGCCCTGGGTGGTGTAGATTACAGCAGTCCAACTTGGCAGCTTCTAGTAGAGGCCTGGATGCAGGCTCAGAGCCCAGCCGACTGAGACTCTCTTCGCAAGTCCAGACAGGGATTGCGAAGTGTGGCCGGGTGACAAAGGACTTACGTGTGCTTGCATTCTCTCCTTGCACCCTACTTGAAGGATCATGGGACTTAGTAGCTAAGGTTATAATTAGGGTAACAATACTTATATCCACTTATCACCCCAATTAAGGTACTCATAACCTTACTTACTAAGTCCCATGATCCTCTAAGTAGACAAACAGAGGCCGGACATCTCACTCCCTCCATTTTTTACAAGGATCCCAGAGCTGGCACCCTAGGATCGTTCTATGTTAGCCCAGGCGAACGCAAATGTCGCAGGGGCGTGAGAAGCCGTGGGAGTCCTGAAATACTACGCAGACAGGAGGGCCCTGCCTTGAAAAGACAGGGCCCCCAAGAATCCTAGTAGTAGAGTAGGGAACCTTTAACCTTTTTTGGGTAGTGTAGTCCCTACATAACCCAAATGGTTGACCTTCAGTTCCCCATGATACCCGAGAAGTAGGTAATACAAAGAACCTACATCTGCACTCCGGGTGTCTTTTCGGAGGGATTTCTCAGATGGATCGGGCGTTCGCGATCTCCACTCTTTCTGTTGTGGGGTGTTTTTTGGTCTTCAGAGCCATTCAGGGCTCATTGAGGTTTGCGTTTGAAGATTTTTGGGTGTTTGGGTATTGGGGGCTTTAGGTAGAGTAAAAGAAGGGTCGGAATAATTGTACTAATGATTGCGACTAGTACCCCCTGGTAGTCCCAATGTATCAAAAGTATAGAGTAGTGGACCCCAACAATCCTAACAACCCAAGTTTAGGTGCTGCAGGATGTAAGAGAAAACGAGAGCCTTGACCCGACAAGTTCTGAAGCTTAACCTCCCAAACCTTACAGCCTGCGGCAAATTCCGGCTTTAGTGCTCTGAAGGGTGCTAGAGTAGGAGGTTCTATAGGGGCTCTATACGGGTATCATAGTTAGGGATTTCATACGGGTGCTAGAAGGGCACTATCTCAGGGGATCCTTTTCAAGAGACCCCCGATGCAAATGCAAAGCTCATGAAACTAAGATCACCACAGCCGTGTAAGCCTTCAACTGGGCCCCGAAGATCCTACACAGGCTTTAGAATCAAGGTTTCAGGGCTTTGGGTTTAGGGTTCAGGTTTTAGCGTTTAGAGTTGACGGCTTTATGTGGGGCCTTAGGGTTTAGGGTTTAGGGTTGGGCTCAGGGTTGAGGGAAGACACAGTGGGTCCTCTAACTATGCAATGTAAGCGCCAAGCTAGAGCCCGAAGGCCATCATAGACCTGTAGCTCGGAGGCTCATCATTTTAGGGTTTCGGTTGAGCTTAGTGGTTAGGGGTTCAGGGTTTAAGGCTTACGGCTCCTGAACAGTCCAAGCAGCAAAGCTTCGGTCCTAAAGCCCTTTAGCCCTGAGGCACCAAACCTACTTGGACCCACTCCCCGCGTCATGCTAGGGCCCTGACAAGCCTGACCACCAAACCCTGCAAGAATCCTAAACCCCTCGACTCTGCAAGAACCCGAACCCCAACACCCTTAGCCCCAAGCCCTCAGACCTTTCATTATTCTTTATCGAGTTGTAATATTGTTCCATAACCCCGGAACACTAGTCTAACCATGAAGGCCTCAAAAACCCGCCTGAAATAGCCCTCATGGAGCCTTCCTAATCATGTACATCGAGACGGCATTGATTCGAATATAGGAGCCTAAAATACAAACCAAGACCATGTCGAGGTTCCTTATTATAAAATAATAGTATACTGGGATCCTTGTAGATCCCTCTTTTCAGGAACCCTTATGAAGCACCCTACAGTAAATCCGCATAATTCCCCCTTATACAAACAATCATTGCATATAATGCCCTATATACTACGTATCATTAAGGCCCTCCTTCGACTTTAATGCCCCTTATACTAGCCTTATACTACGTATCATTACGGCCCCGCTTTGACTTTGTACAGGGCTGCGCCAGCTGCGCCTCGCTGGGTTGAAGAACATCTCGGCCAAAGGTGCTCCGGCTTCAGCTTGATTGAGGGGCCCCAAAAGCACATAAGCATAAGCATTTTATAGGGATATCCCTACCTTGTTGGGCTTCATTATAAGGGGGTTTATAGGGAATACCCCTATCCTAATTTTTGCTTATGTGCTTTTTGGGGGCCCTATTGATATAATATAGGGGCCTTAATAGATAGAACAGGGTAGCCTTTAAAGGGCTCCTTTAGAAGGGGTCTATAAGTGATCTAGAATCGTGTTTTAGGACATAGGGGCCTTAACATGTAGGATTCCCTTTCTGGGGCTCTTCTGGAGGAAAGGTGAGGGGTGAACGGGCTTCAGTATTACTTGTTACCCTGGGCATCAAAATAGCCCAAAAGCCTTATATAATGTGACCTTTGGGCCCAAAAGCCTGAATATATGAGTCCTTAGATGCCTAGGGTTACCTGCTTCCTTGCAGCTGCGGTCGTTGGACAGGCATTGGACAGGGACCTCTTTTCGTGTTCCTGGATGTCTATGATTCGTTTCATTGAACAGCTTGCAGACCTTGGTAGAACAGCTGTGAAGATGCTTAAGGGGCCTAAGTGGTTCGATGTCGCAGAGGGGGTGCCTGCTGCGACAGGAGGGGTCAAGGAGAGTTCGGAAAGTTTGAGACCCGGTGCCTTGAACACAGCGCTGCCCTGGCAAGTGATCCGCTACTATGATACGATCCGCGGCCTAGTTCAAAACCCCGACCACATAGCGAGCTTCTTCTCAGATTCAGCAGGCTCAGGCGAGATATAAGTGCTAAAAATGTTACCAGTGGGGTGTAGACCAAGCAACCCAACCCTAAACCCTAAACCCTAAACCCCAAACCCTCCTAAATGCAGTCTTCACCCGAAGCCCTCCATCTTCATGCCGGAACTGAGGATTAGTGCCCTGCTGCCGCATGCCTGGGCCTTGTCGCCACCTGCGAACCCCAAGCTCAAAACCCAAAGCCTGAGCCCCCAAAACCTATAGGGTTTAGGGTTTAGGGTTTAGGTTTAGGGTTTAGGGTTTAGGTTTAGGGTTTAGGGTATAGGGTTTAGGGTTTATAGTGAATGAGCCCCCTAAGTAAGCGCAGCCCTAAGAAACAGGCACGCGTCACGGTAATGTGAGACATTGATTTGAGCCGGGACCCCCTGCAATTATTGAGATCCCTGAAGTCGTTTCGGGAGACCCCTATATCATATATCATATATCATAATGAACAAAGTTGTTCGGTCTCGTGTTTGCAAGCGCGGCTTCCCAAGTTTAATTTTCTCAGCTCTTTTTTAGTACAAGGAAGGCCCATATACTCTTGCAGTTGGCATTGCGATTACGATTACCACTTCGTGTATTTAATTATTACGACCAATTATAACAGACTTTCCCGGGGCCCGCTCCGGAAAAGCATACAAGTCCATCATGTCTGTTTGTTTGGGTGGGGCGCCCTTACGATATGGCAACCCCGTGCATATCACGTTTTCTAGCAAGGATCAGGTCACCCATTATAGTGTTCCTTTTAAGGGATCTTTCAGGATTCTTTAATAAGGTTCCCTTTAGGGTTCTATAGCATATAGGGTTCCTCTAATGCCAGAGATCAGATGTCCCAAACGCTCATTACAGCTTCCAACCAGCTAGCCCGGACCCCGATCCCTGGACACTCAACCGAAAGGCAAAGTCGCTACACCCCAAGCCTTAATCCCGAAGTCCTGCAACCCGATAAGCCTAAACCCCTAAACCCTAGACCCCAAACCCTAAACCCTAATCCCCTAAACCCTAAGCCACTAAACCCTAAACCCTCAACCTTTAAACCACTAAACCTAAGCCGGTAAACTCCAAACACATACCGGGCTTTTGGCTCCTCCCGCCCCATAACGGAGGCCTGGTCTGGAGGAGATGGTGGCAACCCCAGCGCTGAGTCTGGGGGCGTTGGGCTTATGGTTTCAGGGTTTAGCAGTTTAAGAGTTTAGGGGTCTGGGCTTCCTATTTTAGGGTTTTTGTGAGTGTCTTTGTTAAGGTTCAGGTTTCCGTTGTTTTCCAGCGGAAGCAGGTGACATGCAGGCATATCAGGCGACTGCGATTCACATCGGCTTATCGCGAGTGTTTCGCCAGCCTTCAGTGCCGGGTTGCATCTTCCCGCATACATGAGTCAACAGGTTCTGCTGCTCACTTGTGTTAAAGCACATGGACTCGAATTGTCGCACGCCCGAGTGTGCTTAACCCGACAGCATGCTGCCGGGACCCGACGCCCTGAATACCTGCAAACAAGACAGCCCTGAACCTGTAGACGCGAAGCTCTGGCTTTCCTTTCAGGAGTGTCGCTAGAACTTTTTTAGAACCGTGGTGGAACCCTTCTAGAATTGTTGGATAAAGGCTTCCGTTTTAGGGGAACCTTGTCGAACCGGTATAGAAACCCTGTTGTACCCAAAAAACTCCCAGAATCTCTAGAGACCATGCACCCAAATCTCCTCCTTTCAGAATGCCAGAACCAACCCGAAACTCCTATCCAGAGATCCCAATACCCCTTAATTACGGAATCTACCTTAAATCATAATATGAAGGCCTCCAAAAATTTAAGGTATAATATTCCTTAATTCAGTGGTATTGGGTTCTCCGGGTATAGGCCCTGAAAGGACCCGTATAGAACTTTCAGGGAGCCCTCCTGTCTGGATTTTTTCTACTCTGGAGGTGCGCTGGGCCCTATACCCTACATTAAACCCCCAAGGAACCCTCACAGTTATAGAAACTACTTATAGTCTCCCTTGTAGTTCTTTCTTTGGTTTAACCAGTTATGCCCCAAAAAAGAATTACAATGGAGACTATAGGTATGTACGGAACCTGTGGGTTTTCAGCCATTCCTTTCAGGATTGTAGCTCCTGCAATAGCGTGGCAGACTCCTTCCTGGAGTGTTGCCGGCACTCTTGGACGTGAGGGTTTTAGGCTTGCTTGAAGGGTTCTTGGCAGGTTCTTGAGGTTTGATGGAATTTTGGAGTTCAGGGCATGTTAGCGCCTATGGATTTAGTGAGTTTTGGCTTTGGTGCACTTCTCTTCGCGGGCCCTCCCACGGATTTGGCTTTCATCTTTGCAGTGTTAAGAACTCTAGGGTCTCTTTCAAGAACATAGGTTAGGGTTTAGGGTTTAGCAAGGGGCATAGCTTTATCTGACAGTCTCCAGGGATTGCTTGACAAGAGTGTGCTAAGACTTCGATGGGTGTGACATTCACAAACACAGTTGGGAGTTTCCGAAAATTGGGGGGTACCTTACTTTGGGGTCCTTATAATAAGGATCCTACTATATTAAGGTCCCCTATTTTCGGAAACTCCCCGCTGAAACGGGGAGTTGAGGGGCTTTCTCTCGAAGCCGCCAAGAACCTAGAGCGGACGCCTGCATCCCCTGCAGCGCTAACCCTTTCTCGCTTCCACCCCTGAACCCTGAACCCTTATCTAACCATTGATATTGGAGGAGCTAAGAAGCCAGGGATGATGATAATCCCTATTCATATAGGAGCTAAAGAGCCAAGGGAACCCTCAAAACCACTGGTTAGTTATGAACCCGATGCCGTAGTTTAGGAGTTTGAGTAATTGCCAAGCCTATTGCTCCCCAGAGCTCCTTCTTATAGTTTTGCCTATAGTCTCCATTGTAGCTCCTTTTTGTTGGTGTAACAAATTATATATTAAGGCTCCCATAAGGTAACCCCAAAAAGAACTACAATGGAGACTATAGGTATACTCCAACCCTCCCATTCTAAAGCCTAAACTTTCCTGAGCTGCCTGGCCAGATTTCTGCTCCGCCTGTTTGCTGGGCAAGCGGGCTCCGGTGGCGATGCCCTTCCATGCAAGTTCCTGAGGTTTTAGGGTTTTTAGGCTTCGTGTAGGGTCCTAGGGGTAATTTGGGTTGATCCGAGGTTTAGGTGCAGGAAAGGGCGCGGAAACGGTATCACAGAAAGGTGTATGTAAAATGCTAAAACCCTAAACCCTAAACCCTAAACCCTAGATTTGTGTTTGACGTTGGGACTCAGTTCCCAGCTTTCGCTTCTTCCGGCTCTTTTAGTTTTGCCCTAAGGGTCCAAGTACCCAAATAGTAGGGTTTCAAAGTCCAAAAACCATTCAGAGTATGGATTTTGGGACCTGAAACCCTACTATTTGGGTACTTGGACCCTCTGGGTTGGGCTTGGGGATTGAGAAGTTTAGGGTTTAGGGGTGTAGGGGTTTAGGAATTAGGGGTTAGGGAGGCAGGGGTTTAGGGTTTAGGGGTGTAGGGGTTTAGGAATTAGGGGTTAGGGAGGCAGGGGTTTAGGGTTTAGGGGTGTAGGGGTTTAGGAATTAGGGGTTAGGGAGGCAGGGGTTTAGGGTTTAGGGGTGTAGGGGTTTAGGAATTAGGGGTTAGGGAGGCAGGGGTTTAGGGTTTAGGGGTAAGCCCGTTAAGCCGACTCTGCTCCCAAGGCGCAAAACCTGGCTCAAGGGGCATGCGATTTCATTTCAGTCTCTGACATCTGCGAGTGTTTCGCCCGAAGTTGAAGACCAAATCCTCAGTTTGTCCCCCAAGCCCTACATGTAGCTTGGAGTTTCCATCTTCAGCAGGCAGGTGAAGCTGCTTATGAGGGCTGGGAGGCTGGGTGCCCCAAAATGAGGACAACCACGCTATGTGGATACCGTTTAGTCTTGCCCGAAGTCCCAAAGGCCTGTATTCGATCTAGTTCTTGAAAGCCCTGCCGTCTCCAACCCCGAAAAGGGTGTAGAGGCCATGGTTTGAAAACTTGCGCCATGTGTGAAGCGACGTCCACCACCGCTAATGAGGGCAGCTTCGTGCTTCGGCGAAGACTTTGAATGGGCCCTTCAGAATTCTAGGGTTTAGGATTTCAGAGTGTATAGGGTATAGGGGTTTAGTGGTTCAGGGTTGAGGGCTTACAGGATTTACATGTAGCATCCTCCGCGGCTCCCTGTAGTACCCGAGTCGTAGCTGTTGGGTGGTAGACGGTCCAAGCATCTATCCCAGATCCTGCATCCTGACCCCTAAAGCAAAACTTTAATTCCCTCACACATGCCCTCGAAGGGTCCAGCGCCAAAGTGGACTAGCTTGTCTTGGGTCAGAGCTAAGGCAAACGATACCCGCAGACTGCGATGAACAGCTTATTGGCTTTGCTACTATTTGCTTAAGAACACCCAAAAAATAAAAAAATATATTCCTTATAGGGATAATATAGGGATTATTATTTTTATTTTTTGGGGGGTTCTTAAGCAAATAGTAGTTTGCATGCCAGTCCTGAGTACTGTAGAGTTGTTTTTTCTGGCCTTCGAAGCAATCGCCCTTGGGAAGATAATCCGGAGGATGGTAGTATCGATGTCATGAAGTAAGCTGTAGCCTGTTTGATGACTACCGTGCTTCTCCACATTGCTGTTGTGTGTATAGCTTACATTGTAAGCTTATGGCTGGTTTCCTTTGATGACTAAAACAAACAGTGGTGCTAACATACAGTGCTGGCATATAGCTGGTGTTGAATGCTCCTGCTTACATGTGAAGCATGGTGATGTCCTTCCTGAGCATGCCCCGCATGAGGAAGTTTCCTACAAATCATTTTCACGGAAAAGTTAAAGACACAAGGACAAACTATTGGTTCTGGTTCGTTTTGGGGTTTTTGGTTCTTATAAAAGATTATACTGCTAAGCCTGCTTCAGTTGGGGAGCTACGTTTGCCAGTAATACCAGTTTTTGGTACTTCTGCATCTGTGTTGCATCACCGAGGGTCGTTTACTGTCACCCCTGTTGACACAAGAGTTGATGTTCGACATTACTTATTTAGCCATGCTCCTTTTGGAGGTCCTACAGACACGGATTTATTTTGTGAACCCGTTAATCTTGCCACGGGAGTAGCCTCCAAGAGAGTGTGTGTGTCCGAAAAATGAACAAGTTTACATAGCTTCCTGTAATAAAGAATGCTCATTGCTAACGAGCTGTATCCGGCTGTACCAGTTCCAACTGCTGTCACAAGAGAACTGTATCTTTGATGGGCCCTACTATCTCTCGCGAAAGAAACCTAGGAAATTATTCTGCCGGGGGACGTTTATTATCAAGCACGGGAAATTCTGGGGACAATTGAATCTAGATACCCTTTGCGGGCAACTTTCGGCATACGCCCTACGTGAAGGACTGTAAGCAAAACCTTTCCCCTTCCCGAAAAGGGCCTAGGAATTACAAGGTCTTTGGCACGTCCATAGAAGTTTGCACCCCTCCCGGATGCTGAATCAAAGTGCGATTTTGAGCGCGCCCTCCGAATCCAAGACCCTAGGCACAAAAGAAGCTTGCATTTTGTGCTCGGCAAAGTAGCCATGTGCTGTGCGGAGCTGTTGTGGAGCATCAAATTTGCTTCTTGAAGTCCAGACTCCAAATGAGTTGAGCCCTAGCCTCTGGAAGTCGTAAACCCAGTAGCCCTACGACAGGGGAACTATTGTAGATCCCTTATAGTAGCCCTTATAGACCCCTTTAAAGGAACCCTAAGCCCCCTATATATCTATATCTATATCTATATCTATATCTATATCTATATATATATATATATATTCCACCAGGTCGGGCCTTGAATTTCTTCGCCTTGAAAGCCGGAGCCTGACGTAACTATTATTAAGGCTCTAAACCCGAAACCCTAGACGATAAAATAGTGTAGGTAATGATTACAAGACTCTTGAACCGAAATTTGAGAAGTCAAAGGCAGAGCTCTCTCCGGAACTTCTTCAAGGAATTCCGCTACACATCTGCTTCCATCGTGGACGCAACTTGTGGAATCGTGCAGGCAGGGATCGTTCAGGTGCCGCTGCAGATTTGATGCTGTAGGTGTACTCAGTTTTTTGTTCGATTTGGTGTGCTCCTTTTGGATTCTCGTGGATTGCAAGTAGAGGTGTCGTCTCAGTTTGTGGGCTACAGCATTGTTAGTTGGTGGCGGTGGATGCTCGTGACGTTGCATCGCCAGCCGAGGTGCTTCACAGACGACCCGCCGCTATTCTTACTTCCTCAGTCATGCCTGGGCAGCTTCGTCCCTCAGAAGCTGAATGAGTACACTTCACACGCTTTGGGGTAATGTAATCCCTTGTAACCCTAAACCTTAAACCCTAAACCCGAAACCCTAAACCCTAAACCCACCCTTGTAGAACTGGAAGTGTACACTTTTTGGGCTTCTGAACTCAGCAGCTAAGGTCCTGGTCTAAATACTTCGCTCTCTTAGTTCATTTCAATGGTGTGCCTGCAGCAATGGCTGCCTTCCTCACAGGGCTAATCCTGGGAATATTGACCTCTCTCCAACTCATGCCTTTCGCCACCTGGATGCCGATTCTCGCACACTTAGTGCCAGCATCAGTGCTGTTCCTTTGGCAAGATCTCCGGAGAGTTGTTTGCAATGATCCCATGGTCTTCCTCGACTGCGCGTGCATACCTCAAGGCGATGACGCCGTGAAGGCAAAATGTGTCCGGGGACTCTCTTCCTTCCTCCGCCGATCGGATAACTTGGTGGTCTTGTGGTCGCCCGATTTTGTTCGTCGCCTCTGGTGCACGTATGAAGTGGCCTTCTTCTTGAAACAGAACCAGGCAGATCAGATTCTCTTCCTCCCACTGCAAGTGCCAACTCTCTGGTTTCTCATCTATCTTGTAGCGGGGATCACCCGGACGACTTTGTACATCGCGGAGATCATGGAGCTCTACGGTGAGTCTGTTGTCGGCTACCTAGGGATTGTTGGTGGGGTGTTTCTAGCTCAGCAGCTTACAATTTGGCCGGCCGTGTACTATGTCCTGACAAATATGCTGCGGGACCGGATTAACCTAATCGGGAACCATTCGAGGGTCGTCCCAGAATCATGGGTGTTCGTCTGTGTCGTATGTGGAGATCGGAATAATTTGTAGTACTATTCCCTTATAGTCTCTCCAGTCATGAACGGCTTTTGTGAAAATTGGTTGCCTTAAGTTCTCTACCATCCCAAATTGGTCAGTGCAATATGATGCCGCACGCCCCCGGTTGCTAAACAGCCCAAATATCATAAACCCTTAGACCCCTAAAGCCCAAGACCCGAAAGTTTAATCCTAGAAACCTTTACAGGAATCTTAGAGCCACTCTTGAAGAACCGTGCAACTCCCAAAACCCGATAGCCCGGAGGACATAGCAGAGCTGCCGAAGCAGTTGCACAACTTCCGAGTTCACGATGCTAGTTGCTCCTGCTGCGCGAAAGGCCATGTTGATCCAGCAGCATAGCTGGGTTGAGGGTTTAGGGTTCACTTGGACCCCAAAAGCATGTAGAATAAGAGCCTTTTTTAGGTGTCCGGCCATGAATTTACTTACTTTGGGGGTCTAGGTAGGGTTGGGGCTTGGAGTTTCTGGGTCGGGTCTAGAGCCCTCTACGGCTAGGGTTTGGGATACAGATTGACAAGGGAGGCCAGTTCGGTGATGTGTCGTGTATTGCCTCCAAGCATTTGAGCACAGGTAATGAACCTCCAAAGCTCGTGCCAGACCCTAAACACCGAATCAGCTTGCGCACACTTGGCCATCCCAGGTAACGAAGCAGCAAATTCCCTGTGACCGGAAGCTCATTTATGAGGTGCTGGAGAGCTGCCTGATTATTGAATGGCATGTCTTTTCGATGCAAGGTCCGTAAATATTAACATAAGTAGAAACAGATGAGTGCAAACAAATGAATGAACATATCTATGTATGCATCTATATCTATATATGTACCTGTATCTACATCTGTGTCTATGTCTGTATTACCGTCTTGACTTGAGCTGTATCTATGTCGATATTTACATACACATGAAGTTGCCCACCCTCGAACTCCTGCTCCATCGTGAACTCGAAATCCAGATTCCACAATACTTCTTGCTCGTGCAACTTCTTAGCGGTTCTGAGTTGGTGGGCAAGATGAGCTTTCCTACGCACCTTGCAAAGCTGCATCCCAAAACCCCGAAACCTCAAGCTTAACTCAAACATCTTCCAGGAGGCCCTGACGACCATGTAGGTACACCTTCAATCTGAAACATCCCCGTGCAGCCATACAGAAGCATTCTGCATACACTGCTAACCCTGGAATTACCAGCCGAAGGGCTGAAATTCTGAAAGCTACCAAAATCTTATACACGCGGACAGGGGCCCCTTTCAAGATCCCTCGAAAGACCCCTTCAGCACAGTGCCACCAATCTGATCTTATCGTAAGCCCGTGGTCCAAGCCTGAAACCGGATCTTTACAAGCTCACAGCATGAAGCTTGGACCCGAGGTTGGTTTCAGCCTGTCAAGTGCGCGGAGGAGCATCGGAGGGGTAAGTACTTAAAGGATCATGGGACTTAGTAACTAGGGTTATAATTCGGGTAACTATACTTATAACTACTTATAACCCCGATTAAGGTACTTATAACCTGACTTACTAAGTCCCATGATCCTTTAAGTGCGGTTCAGGGATTGTGGTTTAGGGTGTAACGTAGGATCGGAATCCTTGTTGCTAACGATGTCCCCTCAAAATCTCTGGGTTTTGAAGGTCTCTACAGTTAGGATGTAATCTATGGACCTGAAATTTCCCCTTAAAGCTGTAGCTATGGAATATATCATAAGGGATTCGGACCTTCGAGTTCCGACCTCCATGTTGGGCTGACTCCCCAACCCGATATTACGGTCGAAGTGCCCCAGCTCCTAAGCTTTGGGTTTAGGGTATATAGGGTTTAGGGTATAGGGTTTAGGGTATAGGGTTTAGGGTTTAGGGATTATTGGGTTTAGGGTATAGGGTTTAGGGTTTAGGGTTCCGAAGCCAATCCGAAGCCTTGATGGGAGTTTCCGAAAATGAGGGGTACCTTGTTTTGTGGGGTCCTTGTAATAAGGATCCTAATATTTAGGGTGCTATATTAGGGTCCCCCATTTTGGAAACTCCATGATCACTCTATTTCCACCCCGCTTTCCAAAATCCGAAGCATTCCTACGCCAGCCCTGCTTAGAGGCCCAGGGGACTTAGTAAGTAGGTTATAAGTAGGGTTATAAGTACCCTAAATGGAGTTACCTCAAGTGTAACCCTACTCACAACCTACTTACTAAGTCCCCTGGGCCTCCAAGTGAACCTCAACTCCCCCCGATCGAAGGAGGCTCTGGACCAGTTCAATCTGCATGTCCGGGATAGCTTAGCGCCTCAAGTGGAGCGAACATCCCGGAGACCCGGTCAGATTTAGCTCGGGCGTACTTAGAAATATATATTTTTTCAATTCTGCGTTCCTATAATCCCCAAGAAGCAACCAAAAATCGATTATGATTAGGGGTTTAAGTAGTGTTTCAGGTTCACTATAGTTATGGGCCAGTTGGGAGTGTAGGGGTTTGCAATTCTGGTAGTTCCAGTTTTGGGTTAGGGTCTAGGGTTACTCCCAACATTGAGCAGCCTGCTAGAGTCTCAGAGGAAGCAGAGTGGAAGCTATTTACCCTCAAGATCATAAGCAAGGGACAGTCGTAGGTCTCTAGACTTGATTTCTGGTATACCGCATGCTGAGCATTTGACGTTGCAGACGTTTGGTGCGGCATGTCTAAGTAGGTCAGGCTTTGCAGAAAGGCTCCGGATAGTATCAGTGGGATTCCAGGGGCAGTCTCAGACATGAAGCCGTGAGTTGTTCAAGGGTTTGGGGACTTGGGGCTAAGCCCTAAACCCTAAACTTCCTAGGTAGGCCTTTAGGATATTTTGTATTTTCCCTTGCTGGGCCTAGTAGGACCCTATTTACGAAAATCTTTCAGAGGCTTTAAAGGGCCAACCTAGCTACCCTCAACAACACAAACAACCTCAAACACCCACATCGTCAGGCCGTCTCTCCTGATCCTGAAGCACGGGGTTGTGGCCACTGCTGTTGCCTGCTTCCCGTTCCGTGGTGTCTGATTCGGGGGGATAGGGTGGATTTAGGGATTCAGGGCTTTCGAGTTTCGGGGTTTCATCGTTTATAAGAGTTTAGGGATTGAAAACCTGCTGGTTTTCGGGCTTCTCTTACGACTCTGAACCGTTGGTAAGTAAGAGTATCGCGGTATCCCTTTCTGGTCACATGTATCTACGCGCGCCGCATATACCTCCAAAGCCCTAATTTGTGGGCCTAAATAAATACCAGTACTATTTTGGGGGGTTCCAAAAGACAATCATAGTCTCATGGACCCAAATCCACGTTAAGATTATTAAGGCCCCTATACTAAGTCAATCCTTACAATCGCCCTTATAGCAACGCTTATGGAGCCCTTTAGAGGAACCTGTTCTAAGTATTAAGGCCCCTATAGTATTAGAATATTCTAAACGCTTTGCGTCGTCCGCATCGGGCCAATGAGAGAGGGCGACAAATGTGGGCCGGAGCCAGGGTAAGGGGGTTTTAGGTTTAGGGTAAGGGGGGGTTCCTAATTATCTCGTCATCCTATTTTGGGATTCCTTCTTTAATTCTAATAAAATGGGTCCCAAAACCCTATTCGAATTATTGAGGCCCTTATATTAAGGGGGGTGGAACCAAAATCCAATGTTGCACGGGGTGGCCATGTATTATGGGGAGTTGGGTCACTGGGCAGGGGATTAAGAGGATTCGAAAAGAGGCTCCCTGACGGCAAACAGGAAAGTCTGACCCCTTCGGCCGCGGCCGAGGCGAATGTGAGGCTCCTATATGTAAGGTTTAGGTAGCTAACGCTGCCCGTGACGGTGCCTATGGGCCCTGACATCTGTTGAGTTTGCAAGAGATGTGCCTGGTATATTTCATAATATGCATTGCACTTACATATCTATAGACCCTAAAGCCCTGAACCCGAGACGCTCCAGGTATCTGTCTGCGGACATCTTCATGACGGTGGATCGAGTCAAGAGGACACAGGGTTTCCTTACGGTTTAGGGTTTAGTATGTGAAATCAAATGCAGATATCCAACCCAAGACCACAATGAATGCCCCAAAGCTAGGAATCAACCTAGACTGAAATGAGTCGCAACACGATCGGGCCTTCCACGATTTTTTAACAGCCAAACAGCCTCGGAACATGCCGGTTAGTGCTCAAGTACGTCATCCTGTGCGCAGGGGTCCTTAGCTTCACGCACTCCCCCTCGCTCTCGACAACACGAAGAGAGCGACAGGAGATCTGGAAAACAAAGATAAGATTATGTTGAAGACAGACCCCACTGTTGCACGTACTGAAGAGCACATCGCTACTGTCCCTAAGGCGAACTACGGCGGGACAAAAGCTGCAAGCTCGATTCCGAACCCTTGGAATCCATCCAAAGGGCCCTTTTAAAGGGAAATTCTTCATAGAGCTGCCAGCATCCCTCGATACCATTATCAGGAAGACAACAGGAACTTCTCAACCCTTCTCACTTTTAACTGTTCAAAAACTGGCTAGACTACCAGAAAGGGTGAGAACTCCATCTCTTCCTCAAGGCTGAAAAATCTTGGCTACAGACTGAACGGCCCAAATCGCCATTCGCATCGATCAAGATCCACAGTAGGATTCTCCAACCACGCGTGATTTCGTAGGCGCCCCACAGACGACATTACTTGACTTAGCACCACCGGACTCCTCGGGCAACGATCTCCCTTCTCAGAAGGCCTCGCGAAAACTAAGATGCAACCAACACCCCTTGGAACTCAATCAAGCAGAGTCGCCCACAGCTTCAGCTCGGCGAACACCCCTTAACAGAATCCAAAGAATAACTGCAACTAAGACTCCAAACCGAACGAGCCTCCAAAAGAGAGAGCCCCTGGGACGATCACCAGCGCTCGACCCAGCAGAGCCAACAGCATCACGACTACTAAGGGGTTCAAGGTCAGCTCCTGCACAATCTACCGGATTAGTCGACCCGGGCGCGGTCTGATCAAGAAGCGACCAATCTCCGGAAGCTAAACCCTGAACGATACCTTGAACCTGAGCCTCAGACCAACCTGGAAGGGGAATCACTCCTTGATCATCCACATAATTCACCAGAAGGGCCCCTTCGGAAGCCTGATAGCTCGTTACCGCTGGCATAAACACAGGTCCAGTAGGCCCGGGAGGCCCAGGCACTGCTTCAGCATCGAACACTTCCGTCGGCACACTCACCGACGTAACAGAAGGCTCAGCTGTTGAACTACCAGTCGCGCTATCAGATGACGATGATTCATCCTGTAACTCCCGCAACACACCGCCGAACCTAGGACCTACACCCGCACTAGGAACCGAACCACGATGAGGGTGCTCATCTAGGGAAGGATCGTCGTCATCAGAATCCGCGAAAGAGGGCTGAGCTCCTTGAATATACGCTAGCGCAGCATCCCAAGACTGCAGACTGACATGGCACCCACTGACAATGCCAAACCTTATGTAATCTTCTACCGACTCAAACCACTGCGGGCTCTGAAACAACAAAGCATAATTGGACTCCCGAAGACAATCTACAATAGCACCCGCAATCCCGTAACGAATCATAACCGACACCCCCCTAAGGATCAACCACTCAACGCTTCTTTCACCCAAAAACCACAGGATACGGCCGCCCTGCAACCCGAGAAGATGGGTCATGTAGTGCACTTGAAGCCAGGATCCTATCAAGGGAAACTCAGCTACCTCAGGGATAAAGGCGAGGTCTTCGTAGGTCATGTTTCCCTGATTTAAGGCAGGCATACCATGCGAACTACTACTCCCCCCAACCTGAACATTCGGAACTGGAGGAGAAGTAGTCGGAACACCTGCTGAACCGGTACTCCCCCCAACCTGAACACCCTGAAGTGAATCCGCCGTACCCCCAACTTCGGAGTTCGCTGGAATAATAGGCTCTGCAAAAATCGCCGTCGGAATCCAGCTCTGTTGATCACCATTAACGGAGAATTCGAAAGACGCGTAGTACAGGACCTGGTCGGAAACTAACTGAAGCCTTCCTGTATCCCCGAACTGAAACAACGCAAGCAAAATCACGCTACCCCAAAACCCACAATTCACTCGTCGAAGAAATCCCCACTCAGACCCTTGATTCCCAAGGAACCCAAACACCAAACAAGCTACCGGCGATACCGAACCCTCAAATAGGTCCAGCAGGGTGCAAAGGTGAGGAACAGATTCCTCTGAAGTCTCAAGCAAAGACCCCTCACCTACATCCCCAGAAGATCCACTTTCTTGAGGCGGCTCACCAGACCCAGAAGGCTGAGACATCGCAGCAAAGGCACAAGGATCCTGAGAGCTAAGAGCCCGAGATGGCTGCAGAGAGCAGTCGGCTGAGGCAGGAGATTCGTCAACGGAGGGCACAACACCACGACACTGATTCCGGTTTCGCTCCAAACCCTCAGCGCTGGCCGAAGCATTAGTATCTTCCCCTGTAAGCCAACTTGGCAATGGACCATACCGTTGTTGAAAGACCGGCGGATCAATCACACCTCCCCGTTCCAGTTGACGTCTAATCCTAGCCCTCTGAACAAAACTCAAACCCGTAACCCGCTCAGTCTCTTGAAGCTTCCTTTGAACCGACAACCACTCCTCGGTAGTAAACTCTTCATCCTCGGATCCCGGCTCCTCAGCCGGGTTATCCTCACCAGAAACCCCACTCAAGGACCCCGATGGAAATCCAGCTTCCCTTAAACCAGAGTCCAGAGCACCCGGAACATGAAGAGCCGTTTCTCCGGTCCCTTCCGAAATCTCCTCTGCCCACTCAACATTGGCGTCAAAGCCGAGAACGGGCAACACCGAAGCAAATCCCACAGAACCTAGAAACCACCAAGCCCCTAGAACGCACAGCCCGGTCAAAACCCAATAAAGGACCCAAAAAACCCACAAAAGCCCTTGGTTCCCACCATCATGTTCCGGCTGGCCTTTTACTGTTGGGACACTGGCGAGCAACACAAGCCCTGCAAGAGCCTCCGGCGTCACCACATATCCCGGGCCTTCCCGAAGTCGACTAAGAACTCGAGCAGCTCTGATCGTTTCCGGTGAAGCGGGTTGATCGCGCACATTGATAAGATCAAGTAAATAAAGCAACCTGGATCGTGGTAGCGGCTTCGTGCCAATATCCGCCGCCTGGTGGACACCAGCGAGGTGATGGACCTTCAAGACATTATTCTCGACTCTTTCGCGGCCTGCTTGAGCCCTCATCCTCAGGTGGCGGTTACGCCAGCCTGCTGGCGAGGTTTCAAAAGAACGAAGGGCAGCGGTGTTGTCGGCGAGAAGTGAAATAACACTGTCCTCCGAAAGAAGCTCCTCCAGCAATGGTTGGATAGATTCTCCTAACTGAACCGAATGGATCATGCTCACGAGCTCCGCCTCCGCGGAGCTCAGAGTCGTGAACCCCTGCCTGGCGCTCTCCCACGCCAGCGGCGAACCACGCCACACGATAGTGCAGCACTGCACCGAGCGTCCACCACACGGCGAGTGGGAAGCATCGGAGTACACCTCCAAAACGTTATTCTGTCGAGGCACCGCCAACTGACCATGGTCCGAAAAGTAAGGTCCAGTGGAGTGGAGGTATTCGATACCATAATTCAACGTCGAACTGAGATACTGAAGCACCTGTTTCCCAATGGCAATGCTCAACTCTGGCGTCTTAGTGGCCTGTTGGCCCATTCGCGAAACAGCATAGGCCACATCTGGCCTCGATCTTGTCGAGACCCACAACAGAGCTCCCGTAATCCCTTGAGCAACCTTAACCAAACCCGCGTCCGGCGGACCCTGATCTTCCGGTTCAACCCATTTCGTAATCGGCGAGGCCGCTGTACCCTCAATTTCATATCGCTGGATAAGCTCCTTAACATACGCAACCTGTGTTAGCCTATATCCCTTCGAAGAACGCGTTACTTCAGCCCCGCAGAAGGTAACAGGCGTCTCACCAAACCAGTTCGGAGGGGAAGTCTTCCACTTGCTCTGGACATGATCAATAAAGGACTGACATAGCAAGGGTGGCCCAAAGAAAGCTAGGTCATCTACGTACACTACAAGTAGGCCGGCAATGTCCCCCTTTCCTTGCTCATCTACAGGCTGAACGAACCAAAGGGATTCATCAGATTTCGATTGAAACAACCCATAGGAAACGCCTTCACACAGGATAACAAAAGTTCTAAACTCTCCATCACGATAGTCACCCCAATCCCTAGGCGAAGTGGGAAGTCCGTACAACGCCTTACGAACATGCCACCGATCATCAGCCTGAAGCACCCCCAGCTCTACGAGGAAATTCGGAGGCTTTACTACTATCCGCTCCCCCCGATCCTTAGACCGGGCCCCGATTGGGGCATAAAGGAAAGCTGACTTGACATCAATGGTAATCCCCGTCCAACTGGAAAACATGGCCGCAAAGCCTAAAGCTACCCTCAATGTCAAAGCCTCTGCACCGGACGCATAAACATCATCCTTAGAAAGTCCTAACCTTTCGGGAGGAAGGTAGTTCCCGCAGCAAACAGCTCGTAGGCGACGCTTCCCAGTCCCACTCTTCCTCGTGAGTACCGCTTTCCCAGGAAGTTGGATAACCGTAAAGCCCTGTTCAATCCACTGATCCACAACTCGAGCCTTCACTCGATCAACGGCACCACTGGTTGTTTCCAGACTGGTGACTTCATCGATGGCCGGTTCCTTCCACAGCTTCAATTCCCCTCGAGCTTCGTTAAGGCTAATATTACGAGTCTGTAAGAACATATCCGCTGAAGACCCACTATCACCTAAGGGAATATCAACCTTCAGAACCCGAAAAGTTCCATAACAGTCCCCTGGTTCAATCCAGCCCTCCAGACCTCTCTCCAGCCATTGCGTAAGCAGCTCCACATTCCGAATCTGGTCTGTGATTCCCGGCACCTCTACCGAAGCATCCACTGCATCGCAAAGATCATCAGTCAACATCCTACTCAAACGCGCTGCGCTTTCATG